CCTACATGCACAAAATGTGTGTATATGCTTGCATGCTCACATATGGTAAACGCACTTGCACATGCACGCACTCATTCATGCCTGGGCACACATGTGCAATACGTGTGTTCATAGCATAGATGCATCCGTGCACAGTCACATCACACTGCAGACATACACCAACATTCTTGTGTACAGATGCCTACTTGCACGCTCCCATGAACACGGCTCCACACATCCACACTGGGAGGCGAAGACAGCGGCTGGAGCCAGGCATTTACCCTGAGTGCAAGTCCCACGGCTGCACACTGGCCCGGTGAGGTTCTCTGGAGCCACTGACAGGATAGTGCTGAGAGAAGCATCACAGCCCAACCCCACAGACTCGCCACGTAAGGAGGCAAAGCTTGCAGCTTGCTCTTCTGCGTCTGTCAGAAGAGAAGGCGGAAAATCAAAGCAGTCACCTGGCCCCTTCCAGCAGAGAGGAAAGGGAGAGGAAAATATTTGGGACCTGCTGCTTTCCCCAAGATCTTATTTTTCACCCATTTCTTTACTTCAGAGACGGGGCGTGCACACCCACCCAGAGGGTCAGACACGGCGGCCTGAAGAATGCAGGCTGGGGAGAGGAGGGGAAAGCGAGGCTACGTCCACTCACAAACACGCCTCGAAGCTGACCGCGGCCTGGATGGGCAGTGGACGCCGCTCAAGCCCTGCCTCGGGCAGCCGCAGAGCACATTAAAGTGTCTGCAACCTAAGCCCGGCCCAGAAGCCTGGGCGACCCGGCTGGTGATTCCCACACCGCCTGCTGTCGAGAGAAAGGAGCTCTCATTCTGGCAGCGACGAGGACATGCAGGATCTCCCCCACTTTCCTCCTCAGGGGCAGGCTGGGCAGAAACACAGCAGCAGCGATTCCCAGACGGAATGTACGGGCCTGGAAACTGGGAGGGGTCAGGGGAAGAGGGAAAAATTGTACGAATCTGTGTGTATGTGTGTGTGTGTGTGAGAGAGAGAGAGAGAGAGAGAGAGAGAGAGAGAGAGAGGGAGGGAGGGAGGGAGAGGGAGAGGGAGAGAGCGAGGAGGAGGGAGGGAGAGGGAAGGAGGAAGGGAGAGGAAGAGAGAGGAAGAGGGAAAGAGAGGGAGAGAGAGGAAAGGAGAAAGGGAGAGGGAGGGAGAGAGGGAGGGAGAGAGGCAGAGAGAGAGGAGAGAGCCCTGCGTTCTGGGGAACTGTGCCTGGTGTACATACTGTATGTACTAAGGGTGCCGGTGTTTTGTGTGTGTACTACGTGCATTGTGGTGCACCATGGGTGCTGTGGGTGCTGGTTGCTGCAGGTGCTGTGGGTGCCATGTACTGTGTGTACCATGTGTGCTGCGGATGCTGTGGGTGACTCTCCGTGTCCAACAGCTGCTGTCAACAGACCTGTGTGCAACCAGAAGACACACTCGCGGAACCAGTCTGGGTTTCTGGGACCCAGAGGCTCTTGGTTTTGGCTGGTGATAACCTCTACCCATGTCCACGCCCTGTCCCGTGGGCCTTTAGGACGGCTTTGATGCCCAGAGTCCCACGGGTGCTCTTGCCCCTGCGGGCTCGTGGGCCTCAGGTGCTCTGTGAGGCCCTGAGGCCCACCCTCAGACTGGAAGCCACATGGAGGAACTGTGGTCAGGGCCAAGTTTGGAGCCAGTGCCCAAGGCAAAGGTGCTCCCACACACATGTGCATGCACATACATGTATACACACACATGCTCACACTCGTGTACATACGCATACATGCCCCAACTCACATGTACTCACATGCACACATGTGCACACTGCATGCCCACACATGCACTCATGTGTTCATGTATGCACACACAGACACAAGCATTGCACGCATACCATACACACACACACACACACACACACTTCCCTGATGCTCGTGTGGTTCTGTTGAGATGCTAAGAGCTGTCCTCGGTAGGACCTGGCACTAGGGCGCAGCCTTCACTGACGTGGAGGCACGGACAGCCAGCAGCCATGCCTTCCCGAAGCTGCGGGTGCCTCCTCGGGCCACCGCGTACAGCTCTCCTACACGCCACAGGAAACCCAGGTGGGAAGGCTGAGCCCAGGCCACCTGCAGAGCCAGGGTCTGCAAAGCAAGTTGGGTCCTGGCCCAGGTTGGACCCAGCTGGCCCCCGGGCAGGCCGCTGACCAGCCCTTCAGCATGGCAGAGCTTGGAGGAGGCATTGCAAACCAGGCCCAAAACACCACAGGGTGACGTGTCTCTTTTTTTTTTCTTTTTGGGTCACACCCAGCGATGCTCAGGGGGTTACTCCTGGCTCATGAACTCAGGAATTACTTCTGGCGGTGTTCCGGAGACCATATGGGATGCTGGGACTCGAACCCAGGTTGGCCGCGTGCAAGGCAAACATCTTACCCGCTATGCTATCACTCCAGCCCTAGAGTGACGCTTCTCAATGCCAGGCCGACCCAGACAGGGGCTCGGAGCCTCAGGTCTGCCAGGTAATGAGGGAGATTTTGTGTCATTTGGGAAGCGTTAAGGCCACAGCTTCTTGCTGCCCCATTCTCTGGTGCCAGCCCATGGGGCTGATCTCTCTGATGGGCCTGCCCCAGCCAGAGGCAATTACCAGGATGCAGAGCAGCTGGGGGCATCACACCCGGGCTCCCCGTGCCCCTTCTCTGGTCTCTGCTCGCCGACCAGCCCCGATGGGGAGGGAAGCCAAACTCCAGCCTGTCTGATGCCTGTTCTGGGGCTGATCGGGAAGAAAGCCGTCTCCGCTCTCCGTGTCCGTTAGCATGGAGAACTGCGCAGGGGGGACGCATTTGTCCCCCTGTAATCAGGAACTCCGCAGGGAGGCAGGAGCCAGGAGCCAGTCCTGGGCGTCTCCATTAGACGCTTACAAGAGCAGCCTCGAAGCACTCCACAGCCTAATTCGGAGCAGACGAGAAGTGGAAATGAGAAGCACTAATGAAGATATTTGTTAGTTCATGGTGGGGAAAGACTCCGTTATCAGAGAATTAAAGCAGACGGTCTTCCCGGGCTCGGGGAAGTCCCCAGGAGAAAGCCGAACACACTCAGGGTCTAACAGCAGAAACATTAAAAGCATAAATTAAGTGAGATTCATTCACAAGCTGTTCCTCCTCTCGCGGAAGCCCCTCCAGCCCGCCCCACACCTGGGGTGCCGGGGGGTTGGGCTTCCCACATTGCTTCTACCCCAGAGGGGTGCCTGTCCTCTTGGCTGGGTGCTCTACCCCATGCCTGCAGAAGGGTCCTCTGAGTGTCAGAAGGTCTGCAGGTCCCCAATGTGCCCCTTCTTCCTCCCTGACGACTGCCGGCCCTCCTGGGCCCCGCCCCTGCCCCCCACGCCTGTCCCTGCTTGCACCTTATGCTCTGCACACTGCCCTGGAGACTCAGGGCACTGTTGGTGGAGAGGACGGAGATTCTGGACTGTGGGTACATGGTGGTGGTGGGGGAGGGGGGGCGGTCACTAGCCGTGAGCACTAACGTCATCAGAGGGCAACAGAGGCAGCACGTTCTCCCCCACGCTGTGTGAGGGGGCGGGAAGGAGGGCTGGGATGTGGCAGGAAGTGGCCAGCAGCTGTGCTGCAGGGTCCCCTGGCTGTGAGTCTGCGGTTCATAGAACCCGGGGAGACTGTGTCCACTGTGATGGGGGTGCACTGGGCACTGAGCACCAGGAGGGGGATCCCAGGGCCCGCACCTCCTGGGACTCTCTCGTTCCTGGGACTGGCTGTCCACTCACCCTCCCCTTGCTCCTCTCACCGCCTGTTGTTTGGCGGTATCCCTGGGCCCCCTCACCAGGGCATACGCTCTACCTACAGCTGCCCCTGAAGGTGCTGGGTGGGGGGCGGGCTCTGTGGCTTACCCTCACGCCTCACCTGCCGGGACGGCGATGCAGCTGATGGTGGCGTGTGTGGGCTCAGCCTCAGCCCCAGCCGTGATCGTGCCCAGGCCACACAGTGGCGGCGATCTCCGTGTTTTTATATGCCATCACACCCCAAACCGCCAGCTCCTCCTCACACGGATCTGTTCTCAGTTCCAGCCTCTTCTGGGGCACTGGACACACATGCGGCTCCTGACCACCCTCCCCTGTGCCTGTCCACCCCACAGGGAGAGCATAGCCAAACTCTCCACTCTCAGCATCCACCGTCCCCCCTCCCCGGAGTGTGTGTGGGGGGGTGGCGCCAGGATCTCCCCAGATGTGAGACCGTCCAGGGTTTCTCAGCCCCAGTGACCTCCAGGTGCCTTTACACCTGAGCCCTCTGCAGTAACTTAGGCCACAGCCCCCGTCCAGGTTCTCCCTCCATCCCTGTGGGCCGAGGCTGCAGCCTCGGAGAACCAGCTGGGCAGAGGCTCCACCCACACCCTCCAGGGCGGCGTGTCCAGGACGCACCAGGTGCCATGGCTTTAACTCAGCAGAGAAGACGGAAGATGGACCTTTCGACAGCCCCCAAGGGGAGAGGCCATGAAGCATGGCACTGCCTTGATGGCCTGCTGGCAGCTGGCCTGACCGCCCTGCTCTGAGTGCCTCTACAGGGGTCCCCTTGCCTCTTCTGCCCCCTGGTGTCCCCTAGGGTGCTTGGGCCAGGCATCGGGCTGGACCTGTGCAGCTGGCCAGCATGGCCTTAGCGGGTACGGAGGCCAGGCCTGATTCGGGGGTCATGTGTCCCCCCGCAGAAGGGCAGGGACAGGGCCTGCTGGAGACGGCACGGCTGTAGGTGGCCTTCCCTGTCCCTGGACACGGGCACCGCAGGCCGCGAAGCTGCACCTGAGCTGGGGAGACCACTACTTTGCCTCGGCCATGGCACGGAGGATGGACAACACCCCAGGACAGCAGAGCAGCAGCCACAGCTGACGCACCACAGAGGCTCCCCGGGCCCTGCCCCGGGAGGAGAGCCACTGTGGCCGGTGATCCGGAAGCAGTTCCTCTTCTCCTGGAGGGTCGCAAGCCCCCCTCCGGCCCCATGCTTCTGACCCCCCCACACGGCGTGGACACAAGGCCAGATGGTGCCCCCGACCCTTTTATTCGGCTGTGGCCCAGCAGCGGGTAAGGGGGGGACAGGGCAGTGGCCAGGGCTCACTCGGCCGCCCCCGCCGTGGCCGCGGGGATGAGCCGGGGCTTGGCCTGCTGGGGCGGGGCGGCGGCGGGCAGCTTGTCGCCCTGCTGGTACACGCTGACTGTGACATCGATCTTCTCGCCGCCGTGCTTGTTGCGCACGCTGATGGTGTACTTGCCCGAGTCGTCGGCCGTCACGCCCGAGATGGTCAGGCTCACCAGCTTGCTCTGCTCCACCTTCACGGCGAAGTGCTCGCTCAGCTCCAGGTCCCTGTCGTTCTTGGCCCAAACCACGTCGGGCGGCGGGTCCCCGAACACCGTGCAGGTGAGGTTCAGGGTCTGCGGGCGGGGCAGGTGGTGAGCAGGGAGGGCATGGCCACCGGGGCCTGCACCCAGCATATGCCTCACTGCACACGGCTCTATGAAGCTCAGGCCCCACGTGGGGTCAGGAACCTGGGGGATGAGCTCGTCTGCCTCGGAAGCCCCGTTACACAGACTCGGGGGGCATGTGTGGGTGCTGACCACAGCCCCAGGCACACGGAGACACTGAGTCACAGCCCCCACTCGGCCTGGAGTGCCCTGGGCAGTGAGAGGAGAGCCGAGCTCTGACCCTCAGGTGACCAGACAGACCCTGAGTGATGCCAGGACACCACAGGAGGGCGTCAGGGGCTCCAGCAGGTCAGTGGGGACTTCGGGAGTGGTCACTGCAAGCACTGCAAGGTGACATGTCCCTCCAGGACACTGGACAGGGGAGTGACCCTCCAGGACTGGACAGGGAACTACCCTCCAGGACACTGGACAGGGAACTGACCTGCCAGGACACTGGACAAGGGACGTGACCCTCCAGGACACTGAACAGGGGACTGACCCTCCAGGACACTGGACAAGGAACGTGACCCTCTGGGACCGTGGACAGGGGACATGACCCTCTGGGGCCCTGGACAGGGGACATAACCCTCCAGGACACTGGACAGGGCATGTGACCCTCCAAGACCCTGGATGGGGAATATGTCTGGGACACTCTTGGCCTGTCTCCCATTCCCCCTGTCCCTCCACCACACCCGAGCCCGGCCCACCTTGCCCTCCATGATCGTCACCACATCCGGCAGACCTCCTATCACTTTGCCGCGATCTGCAGGACAGAGGACCTGTGAGAAGACCCTCGAGGGGCTCCCAGAGCACCCACCTGCCGAGCTCCATATCAAGGAAAACGAGGGGCTGCTCTCTCCCGGGTGGACACAGAGCTCAAAAGGGCGTCAGGGGCAGGTGGGAAGGAGACCCCATCTGTGTGAGGGGCAGCTGAGTGGGGCCGTGGGGGCTGCCGGCAGCTGCCCAGACTCAAGCGGGTGTGAGGGCTCAGAGTGGCCCCTTTGCTTGGACCGCTCGGGGCCTTTCTGGTTGGGGACACCCCTGCCAGCATCCCTGTCCTCAGGAGCCTGGCCAGGAGGGCAGCTCCACCGTCCAGAGCTGGTGTCTCCCCATGCCCAGGAGGCAACTTCCTGTCTGGGTCGACCAGGACCCCAGATTTCAGTCCCCCCCGTCCCCGCCCTACCCGCCCCCTGTCTGCCTGCCCCCCAACCCTTCATGCTGATCCACATGCACCCTACCCTGTCCTGGGCCCTTGGCCCTGCTCGGGACACCTCCCTCCCCCCGCCCGGCTATGTCCCACCAGCACACTCTCCCGGCACGGAGGAGGTGGCCAGGGCATATGGCCGGGAGCAGGCGTGGGCAGTCAGGAGGGCATGTGAACGGGATATAGCTTATTGCTCCCCCGCAGAATTCACACCTATGGCCAGACACCCCCTCCCCAGCCAGCGCCAGGCGGCTTGAGCCCATCTTCCGCTACTTACTCTTCTCTGCGAAGGCTGCTGCCCTACGGGTGGGGGAGAGGAGCATCAGGGATGGTGGCCTGGCCTGTCCTTCCCGCCTCCCCAGCTCTGCGCAGCCCCCAGGGCTCAGGGCGGAGGTCCCCATCTAAGCAGGACCCCGAGCCCTGGCCCAAAGGCGACTGGTTGTTAGTTTCTGGCGTGGTGCCACACTGGCAGTCCTCAGGGCGGAACCCACATTGGCCGCGTGTAAGGCCTGAGAGCCTGGACCATCTCTGTGGGTCCCTACGTCACTTCAAATCCTGGTTCCCATTTATCTCACTTGCCGGCTCATCCATCCCACGGGCACTTATGAACTGTCCAGGCTGGGCTGATCCCCGGGAACCGTCCAGAGCCCAGACCTCAAGAGATCCCTAAAAATCACTCTAAGAGGAAACACGGCACTAAACATGCCAGGCAACATCCTGGTGGGGAGGGCACACGAGGAGCCCAGCTCCAGAACCTTCTGGAAAGGGCTCCAGTGCACACAGCACACAGAGCTGGAGGAGGCACGAGGTCGCACCAAGGATGCTGGGATGATGGGTGGGGGGGAGGCTGTGGTCCCTGTGAGGACACAGCGAGACCCAGGCAGCCCTCGGGGACACCGGGCTCTGGGTCACACTGATGGGAACCCTATAAGTAGATTCCAGCAGGGGTCCGTGGGGCCCAGGTACGTGGGAATCTGGGGGTTTACTTTGAGTCTGCTGTGACCTGAAATGTTGTGTATGGGTGACTCCTCTGGGAATGCCAGATACACTCCCTGTACCCAGTCCCGAGCCGGGCACAGCTCTGGGCTAAGCCCAGCTTGGCATCGGGAGAGCCCAGTGCTCTCAGGAGCAACTACCCCCACACGGAGCAGGTGTGGCCCCAGCACTGAAGATTCTATTTGGCCTGCTGCCGTGATTCTGGCCTCAGAAGCTCGTCGTTTGCTCACTGAAAGCAGCCCTGGGTGCTGTCGGCCAAGGCCTGCCTGTCTGGCCCCAGAAAAGCGCTTCCTTCTGCACCCGCACTGCTCATGGCCCCTCCCACCCCAGGCCCCGGGTGAGCTGCTATCCCGGACAGTCCCCCACTCAGCAGAGGGAGATGGGGGAACAGCCCCCACGGACTCACTTGAGTTGCTGGAATTCTGCCAGGGCATCGTCGAACGCTGTGGAAACAAAAGCCCAGCTCTCTCATTGCCGTATGGGCTGTTGGGTCTCCGCTCACACCCGACGCCTCCTGGCCAACCCGCTTGATGAGCAGAGAAGTCACCCAGGGCCAACTGACAGCCATTGGGAGCTGCTTCCTGCCCTCCACCACCCCTGGGCCCTGACCAGCAGCAGCCCACAGGGGGCCTCACCCTGGCCCGACAGGTCAAGTGAGCGCTGGTACGTGTCCTGGCCGTCGGAGATCTCGAAGGTGTACTTCCCCTTGTCCTTCTCGGTGGGCTCACAGATCTGCAGCCAGGCCATCTGCTCACTGCCACCCACACGCATGTGCTCGCCCGACGCAATCTTGGCGTCTCTGGGGAAACCGAAGGTGCCATCAGAGCAGGGTCTGCTCCCCCTGGGGCCTCGGAGCACTCCTGTGCAGGCACAGGGAGCATCTCACCTGGGTCTGGGGAACACTCTTGTGTGGGTGCAGGGAACACCTCCTCTGTACCTGAGGAGCACCTCCTCTGCACCTGGGGAGCACCCCTGTGGGAGTGCAGGGAGCACCTCACCTGGGTCTTGGGAGCACTCCTGTCTGGGTGTGGGGAGCACCTCCTCTAGGCCTGGGGAGTACTCCTGTGACGGCACAGGGAGCACCTCCTTTGGGCCTGGGAACACTCCTGTGAGGGTGCAGTGAGCACCTAACATGGGCCTGGGGAGCACTCTGGTATGGGCACAGGAAGCACCCCCTCTGCACTTGGGGAGCACTCCTGTATGGGCACAAGGAGAACCACATCTGGGCCTGGGAGCACCCCTGTGGGGGTGCAGGGAGCATCTCATCTGGGCCTGGGGAACACTCCTGTGTGGGCATGGGGAGTACCTCGTCTGGGCATGGGGAGCATCCCATCTAAGCAAAGTAGTATTTCATGTGAGCACAGCCGCACTCTAACACTTACTTGTGATACCAGCTGACCCGCATCTCTTCAGTGAAGTACTTCATCTCACACTGAAGCCGGATTCCTTCCGGGGTGCAGATGAACTTCAGGGGGGAAGCCGACGCTCCTGCAGAAAAGGGGAGGTGAGAGACCAGTGCGCCCCCAACCATGGCCGTCAGTGGGCATGCTGGTGCCTCCCCGGGGGTGGGGTGAGAATGTGCCCTAAAGGTCACTGAGAAGTGCTTCTGAGGGTCTGTCCCTGGAGGTCACTGAACTCGGGACCCTGAAGTCTGGCAGAGGGAGATGTCACCCCTCAGAGCTACTGGGAGCACGGTTCTAAACAGGCAGGGGCTGGGGGTCAAGTTGGACCCTGAGCATGATCACAGCGCCCAGCTCCCCCAAGGCCTGGCCTGGCACCTGGTGAGGGATTCATACACGCACACAGGTGGCCTCAGCCCAGACTCATTCCCCACTCAGGGTTACACTTGGCTCTATGCTCAGAGGTGGTCCCGGGGCAAGGGTGGAGGGCCAGAGACTGGCAGGGCGAACACATCGTTCTATGCAAGGCCCGGGTTGTAGTCTGCTGCTACCCCGTGGTGAAACTGATAGCAAGTGCACACACAGTCCCCCACGTTCACTGAGACAGGTCTGAAGGCTGTGGGGGCTGGACTGCACCTACAGTGAGATCCTGGGCCTCCTCAGGGGGTCCCACTAAAAGCAGGAGGGGCAGGCGTGACCCGGCAATGCTGCATTAGAACTGCACGTCATCCCTGCCACCACCACCACCCACCCCGCAAAAAAAGGGAAAAGAAAATAGAGAAAACTGGGAACTTGGAACCAACTTGATGCCCAGAGAAACAGTTCGGGAAGGAGACAGGTGAGCCGAGGCGGGTACTCACCACAGACTTTACTCATTGCCAAGATCATGTCATCGTACACTGCAAGGGAAGGGACACGCATGTGACAAGGGGCCACCTTAGCCGCTGATCAAGCTGCACGTGTTTCCCTGAACACCGAGCCAGTAAACTGACAACAACATTCACCCTCAAAACACTTATTCATGTCACCAATCCTTCCAGCCTACCTGCTTTAAATCATTTCAAAACAAGCAGCAAGGACGTTTCACCCAACATAAATCCTAGCGCCGCCTAAAGAGACGCTTCCTCGTGGGTGCAGTGACCGCAGAGGCACGGAGGTGACATTTCGCAGCCACCGGCGTCATGGCAGGTTTTGGGAAACCACTAAACAGCCATGAGTGTGGCGGGTGCCCAGTTTGACTCCTGGCCCTTGTCTCTGCAGAGAAGCCGCAAGCCGGCAGCTGGGCCACAAGGGGCAGGAGCAGCTGGTCCCGCTGACCAGGGCCATTGCAGTGGGAGCTAGAAGGGGTCACTTTACCTTTTCCTGCAATCTCCAGGCTGGTATCGTCCTGACCTCTGTCATCCTTCAAGGTCGCCTTGTACTCCCCGTGGTCCTTCTTTGACAGCTACAAAAAGCACCAATGCCAGGTCAGGTGGGGTGGTCCTCGGGAGGCCCTGAGGCCCACGTCTCCATGCACGGCCGGGGCTTGGGCGCAGACACCCAGGCGGCTGCACGCCTTGCTGAGCACCTGCCCTTACCTTGGGGATGAGCAGCTCACACAACCCCTTTTCCAGGTCGGGCTGTGTCCCCGCCTCATACAGCACATCATCCTTCAGCCACTTGAAGACGGTTTCTCTCTTCGTGTTAGCGACCTGCAGGACAGAACGTCTGTGTCCCGCCCGGGCACCCTCTCATCTGCCGGGAGCTCACGGTGCAGACCACAGAAGCCTGCGCTTTCCATTTCCTCAGACCCAAGGGGAGCTGAGGGCCTGGTTCTTCCCTGCGTGCTGGTTCCAGGCTCAGAAACACGCAGACCCACCCCCGCACCAGGAAGCTACTCGCCCACTCTTCCTGTTTGCCACCGCTGCGTGTGAGTGACAGAGCCAACAAAAATGCCACAGTGAAGGAAGGGACGAGGGGATGATTACACACACACACACACACACACACACACACACACACACACACACACATCCCACCCCCATAACCACACAGAGAACAAGCCCTGGTTCCTCCAGACCCGGCTGGGCTCCGGCCCCTGCATCGTCTTGAGTCTCTGCCAGGAGACATCACCCCTGCAGGAGGCTGGGGACACTCAGGTCTGACCCCAGCCGCCACCCCCTGCTCACCTTACAGAACAGGCGAACCTCGCACTCCGCAGTGACCTCCCAGCGCAGATACTCAGCAAAGTGGGGGCCTTGGGGGGGAAGCACAGGAGGAGACAGACACACAGGTCAAGTGCAGGAAGTCGGTTCGGGCAGAACCAAAGCCGCTGCACGGGGCCCTCTTAGGCTCGAGAGGCCAATTCTCGGCTGGGACCCCGGTGGCCTGCCCCCTCCGGACAGCGAGTGTCGCGTTGGAAGGAAGGACACGTGGCAGAGCGGTTCCTCCGCACTCTTCAGTGGGAACTTCAGCTTCCTGGGTGCGTGGCCGCCAAAGCAGGGGCTGGTGGTGGTGTTGGGGGGGGGGACACCACGGACAGTGCCACCCACAGAGAGACTCATGACGTCATCACAGCTGGCAAAGCCAAACCCTCGTGCCACAAGAGTGTTAGCAGCACAGAAAGTCATTTCTAGATCAACCCTGGGGTCTGCGTGCAAGCCAAGCTCCCGGGTCACGCGTCTCCTCTGGGGTCTCTGTCCAGACCAGGCTCCTGGTCACGTGTCTCCACTGCAGGGGGCGGGGGGGGGGGCCTGTGCGTTCAGCACTGCATGGGGCTGAGTTGGCCGGGTCCCTCGCCTTGGACTCAGGGGGCCCAGCCCACAGTCACTGCCCCCTGGGCCCCCACTGCACCCTGCTCCTCCACACAGGGCTCGGCTGTTTGCTGTGGGGTCTCCAGTGCACTCACGTGGCACATGTCCCCGACTCGGGAGTGACCCTCATCCCTCAGCCATTTCTGCCCTGAGCCAGCATGAGCCAGGACAGCCCCATCGTGAGGCCAAGTTGGCAACAAGCCCAGAACGGGGTGACCAGGTGGGGCTGGGGGGTGTAGTCAGGAAAAGTGGCCCCAAGGAGGGGCAAGGGGTACAGCCTGGCCCAGGGGTGGGCACTCTGGCCCTCAGAGCCCCCCAAGGCTAGGGGTGCCCTTGTCCCAGACACAGGAGCGTGAGGCAGGGGCGGGGGAAGTGGGTGCCCGGGTGTCGGGAGACCAGTGGGTGTCTGAGCAGGAGGCAGCCCAGACCGCGGGGGACCCTGAGTCCCCGGGGGGAAACGCCACCCACCTTGTTTCCTGAGGAACTCCTTCCGCTGCTGCTCAGCCTCCGCCAGGACCGTCTTGAATGCTGGGAGACGGGAGAGCGTGAGCCCATGTAGCCCGGCCGGGCCCTCTGTGGGGGCTGCAGGGGACCCTCCTCTGCCCCGCTGGCCGCCCCACCCCACGCTCACCATCGCCGATGAGCACCAGGGAGGACTGCGTCTTGGCCTTGCCGTCCTGCAGCTGCACCGTGTAGGTGCCCTCGTTCTCGATGGTGAAGCGGTCCATGACCATCTCGATGATGCCCGTGGACTTGTCGCACTTGATTCTGTGGGTCTGAGCCAGAGAGGAGAGCATCACGCTGGAAACTCCCCCGGCTCTAGCACACGCACACATGGGTTGTCTTCCTCCCCCTTGGTTCTCTCCCTCTCTCTTCCCCTCTCCCTCCCTCTCCCTCATCCCTCTCTCCCTCTCCCTCTTCCTTCCTCCTCTCCCTCTCCTCCTCTCCATCTCCTTCCCTCTCTCCCTCTCCCCTGACTCCAGCTGACTGGATCCATACAGACAGGCTGGACCTTCCACCCTCAGTGGGTCACTGTGCCAGGGCCGTCAGGACAGAGCTGAGCTGTGGGAGCCCTGTGTCCACCCACAGCTGCAGTTCTCAGATGTGTACTTGCCCTGGGCAGCCCCACCAGGCCGTGGTACAGCACTGCCATCCCCCAGACCAGCAGTGACCAGGCTCTGCCCAGCACCGTGTGTGAGCAGGTTCACAAGTGTTGCCCCATGGGCCAGGCCTGGCATCGGGCAAGTGCGACACCCCCGTCTTCCCTGACACTGAGGACCTGCAGGAGAGGCCCCACTGCCTCCCTCGTGTTCTCCTTCCGGACATGCAGGGGACGCAGGCACCCACGTGTCCCCCTTGTCCTTCTTCTGCCAGGACCCTCCACCCAGCAGGGCCAGGCCCTCCTTGACCGCTAGCCCAAGGAAGACCCAGAACTACCGGATGCCCTTACTCTAGGCTCCCTGCTGCCCTGTCCCCTTTGAAGCACTGCACACTGGGGGCCCCTGTCCACCCACAGACCACACTAGGGCCCCATGTCCACCCACAGACCCCAGCCCTGTGTCCACCCGCACATGTCCACCCACACACCCTGTTCACCCACAGACCCACATACTGGAGCCCTGTATCCACCCACACACCATGTCCACCCACACAGTGTCCACCACACACCAAGTCCGCTACAGGCCCACAGCCCCCAGTCACAGAACTCTCAGGTGAGGATGGGCAGAGCATGGACAAGACAGGCTTGTGGCCACTGCCAATGTCCCTGAGGTGGTGGCTCAATGGTGAGGGGCCAAGGGGCTTCAAGACTGACCCCTGGGAGCCTTCCCGAGGGCCAGGCTGGGGCAGCAAAAGACGCAGGTCAGCAGAGCCCCCGTGCCATCCAGAAAAGGCACCTGTGCCGGAGGGCCTTAGGGAAGCCCAGCTCTACATCCATGCTTGTGTGTGTGGATGTGCATATGTGTGTACACATGTGTTCCTGTTTCTGCACGCATACGTATTTGTGCGTGTGTTTATACATTGTGCATATATGCACATGTGTATTACATGTACATGCCTGCATGTATATATGTATGTTGTGTGTACATGTGTACACGTGTACTCGTGTGTGTGCATGCATCTGTGTACATGTGTGCATTGTATAGTACATGTGCATGTGTGCATACCTGCAGGTGTGCATACCTGCATGCATGTGTTGTTATGTGCACGTGTGTACACATGTGCACTGTGTAGTATATGTGCATGTGTGTATATCTGCAAGTGTGCCTATCCACATGCATGTGTGTTCTGTGTGTACTTGTGTGCACATGTGTGTGTTCATGTGTGTGACACTGTCACTGCATGCTGCTGGGATGACCTCCACTGCGGCCAGACTGCAGCAGCGCCTGCCTCATCACGTGCCCTGCCCCCCAGAACAAACCCAGAACCCCCACAGGGCTCACCGGGCTGTCCGACACCTCCCGGTCGTTGATGACAAAGCGGAAGGTGGAGTCGGGGGACAGGTGCTCTGCCTGCAGCCAGAAGCGGACCTGGCCCTGGTCGAAGAGCTCATAGGCCAGCTCGGACTTCAGTGGGATGGCTGCAGGGACAGGACAGTTAGGGCTCAGGGGACCCAAAGCAGGGCATCACTTGGGGTGACAGTGAGGGTCTCAGAGACCCAACAGCAGGAAGTCCCTGAGGAGAAGCGCGTGGACAGTGAGTGGCGCAGGGAAACTGACTTGAAGGGGTCCCTGGGGAGAGAGACTGAGTCAGGGACGCAGAGATCCCTGAGCGGGGGAGGGGTGGGGAGGGTCATCTCTGTGTTCAGGCCTTCAGAAGCTGTGCTGAGAACCAGGGTCCGGCCCATTTACTGGGAGCTGCCTGTCCCAGTGCACCTGGCCCACGGGGCATGTGGGCAGAACCAGGGGCTCTGCACGAGGGCGTCCCGACCCGAAAGGCACCTGACAGCAGCTGCACCTGGTCAGCCTCCCTCCATAGCTGTCCCAGAGGGACCTTACAGGCCAGTCCCCATCCCAAAGGAGTGGGCATCTGCCTACGATGACCCCAAGCCCAGAGAGCCCCTCACTCTGGGCCCCCCGAGCTCACGCCCAGGGGGTCTCCCTTCCCGGCTGGGCACCCAGGGACCCCCAGCACCCAGTACCTATTCCCAGGGGGTCTCCCTCCCTGGCTGGGCACCCAGGGCCCCCCTCACTCACTGGGATTTTTTATCTCGTTGCTCAAGGCCATCAGACGTTCCAGCTCTGAAACCAAGAAAAACCAAGTGGCCATCTAGGATTTTGCAGCCCCCGTACAGATGTGCTGCCCGGCCCGACCCCAAGACAGCTGCCCAGTGCTCCAGACTGCCCTCGGCGCCCCCACCTCCAGGGGCCGTGAGAGGGACTCAGATGCCCTAAGACCTCCAGGACGGGAGGCCCCCAAGGTTCTGCCTGCTCCTTCTCGCAGTGCTCCTGCATAAATGCAGGCTGGCCCAGAGGGGGGCTGCGACCACTCAGGCCTGAGGCCCCCCCTGTCCTGTAGCCTGGGAGAAATCAGCTTGTCCTGGGCACCAGCTCTGCAGAACCTCATCCCCTCGCACCTTCCCGGGCTGCGCCGCTGACTGCACCCGCTCTCCCACTCCCCCACCCGCCCCATCTCTCAGTCTCTCCGTCTCTCCCACTAGCCCTGTCTCTGTCTGTCTCTTCCATTCACCCTCTGTCTCTCAGTCTCTGTCTCTCTCACTCGCCCTGTCTGAGTCTCTGTCTCTCCCACTCATTCTGTCTCTCAGTCTCTGTCTCTCCCACTCGCCCTGTCTGAGTCTCTCTCTCTCTCACTCATTCTGTCTCTCAGTTTCTGTCTCTCCGCTGGACCTGTCTCTCAGTCTCTCTGTCGCTCCCACTCATTCTCTCAGTCTATCTCTCCCACTCTCCCTCAGTCTGTCTCTCAGTCTCGCCCTGTCTCTCAGTCTGTCTCTTTCATTCCCTGTTTCTCAGTCTGTCTCTCCCACTCATTCTGTCTCTCAGTCTCTGTCTCTCCCATTCACCCTATCTCTCGGTCTATGTCTCTCCCATTCACCCTATCTCTCAGTCTCTGTCTCTCCCACTCATTCTGTCTCTCAGTCTGTCTCTCCACTCGCCCTGTCTCTCAGTCTGTCTCTTTCATTCCCTGTTTCTCAGTCTGTCTCTCCCACTCATTCTGTCTCTCAGTCTCTGTCTCTTCCATTCACCCTATCTCTCAGTCTCTGTCACTCCCACTCATTCTGTCTCTCAGTCTCTGTCTCTCCACTCGCCCTGTCTCTCAGTCTCTCTGTCGCTCCCACCCGTTCTCTCAATCTATCTCTCCCACTCTCCCTCAGTCTGTCTCTCAGTCTCTCTGTCTCGCCCTCTGTCTCTCAGTCTGTCTCTTTCACTCCCTCTCTATTTCTCAGTCTGTCTCTCCCACTCACTCTGCCTCTCAGTCTCTGTCTCTCCCATCTCTCCATCACTGTCTATGTCTCCCTCAGTCCCTATATTTCCCTGTTTCCCTCTGTCTCAGGCAGGGAGGAATGACTATCCACCTGTCCATCTTGCACCAGTTTCTGTCCCAGCAGGCTCAGAGATGCACGGGACTAGGCCATGAGCTCCCTGTGAGCGTCTGTGCTCAGGCAGATTCACGCCTCTCCCAGCCCCACCCCAGCACTGCTTGTCCCCCGGAGCCCTTGGGCTGAGCCTGGTGCCCACCTACCCGCCTCATCCAGGACAAAGCTAGATGATATGCCATCCGTGTCACTCACGGACACTGAGTAGGTGCCCAGGTCCCCTTTGTCCGGAGTCTGGAGGTACAGCTTGGAGCTGGAAGGCAACGACAGGCGGAAGGTGTGTGGGTGGGTGAGGCTGCGCTCACAGGTGGCCATGCTCACCGCAGGGACTTACTGGTCTCCCAGGGTCTCTATCCGGAAGCGGGGGTCATCAGGAAGCTCCTCGTAGGACTTGCACCAGGTAAACTGTGAAGCATCGGTCACCTCCGGGCATTCAAAGGCCAGGTAGATGTTGCCCTCCTCGTCCACACCTGCAGTGACTTCCTTGGTGCCTGCAGGGAAGACGGAAGCTGAGCCAGGTAGGTACGAGGAGCCCTGGTGTGCAAGGCTGCCTGACCCTGGACGCCCCAGACACGCAGCTCTGTGCAGCCCACCTGGCCTGGCCTCCACCAGCACCGGCTCTGAGGGGTCCGACGGCTTCCCCTCCCCACTGGCGTTCACGGCCCGCACCCGGAAGACGTAGGTCTTGCCCTGCAGGAGGTCACAGGCCTGAAAGACAGAGGAGACCTGCGTGTGAGTGGGTGTGCATGCATGGGGCAGGGAAGGCAGTTAGTGCCTCCTTCAAGGTGTACCCGCGTCCTCCCAGAACCCTCTGCTCTGAGTGTTGGTCACAAGACAAGCAGAGGAGGATCTGGTGCTCAACAGCTGAGGCTCGGGCTATGCATGCAGGAGGCCCGAGTCCAATCCCAGTACTATGCAGGGCTGCAGAGCCCCACTGGGAGCACAGAGCTGGGATTGAGCCCCGAGCACAGAGCTGGGAGTGATCCCTGAGCACAGAGCCGGAAGTGATCCCCGAGCAGAGTTTGGAGTGATCCCCGAGCACGGAACTCGGAGGAAGCCCTGAGCACAGAGCCAGGAAGTGGCCAAACTGCCAGATGTAGCCCCAAAGCAGGGGGAAAGCAAAGCAGGAGGGAGGGTGAATTGGAGGTATCCCAGCCTCACCCTCATGTGTGCACAGACACCTGTGTCATGAGTGGCTTATGTGCACATGAACACATGCTTGTTCACATGAGCGATGTGCACACACATATACACGTGACTTGTGTTTGTGCCTGTGTGTTGTGGGTGCCTGTGTGTGCTGTGCATATTGGAGAGATTCAAAGAGCCATCATTGAACTCAGGAAACACAAGTTGGAGAGAAAGAATAAAGTCCACCCCGTGGGGAATCGCTCAGCTGGGAAGGGTGAGCTGTGCCCTGGACTCTGCCCCAGACCCCAGACAGACCTTGTCACTTCCTCCAGGCCTGTTCCTGCAGAAACTTTGCACCACTGCTCTGCAAACTCTCCCAGGTGAGGACTCTGAGATCTCTGTGAGGGCCCTCAGATACCTGTCAGGTGTGGTCTGAGATCTTGCTGTGAGGCCCTGAGATCTCTCTCACGTGAAGTTCCTGACTCTCTGTCAAGTGGGGGCCCTGAGATCTCTGTCAGGTGGGGGTCCTGAGATCTCTGTCAGGTGAGGGCCCTGGGATCGCTCTGGTGGGGACCCTAAGATCTGTAAGCTACGGCCTGAGATATCTCTCTCTCTGTCTCTGTCTGTCTGTCTGTCTCTCTCTCTTTCTCTCTATCTCTCTCTCTCTCTCTCTCTGTGTGTGTGTGTGTGTGTGTGTGTGTGTGTGTGTGTGTGTGTGTGAGGGCCCTGTGACCTCTGTCATGTGAGAGAAATCTGATATCTCTCTCAGTTGAGGATCCTGAGATCTCTGTCAGGTAAAGGCCCTGAGATCTGTCAGATAAGACCCTGAGATGTCTGTCAGGTGAGACTCTGAGAATTCTGTGAGGGTCCGGAGATTTCTGTCAGGTAAGACCCTGAGATCTCTCTCTCAGATGAGGACCCTGAGATGTCTGTCAGGTGAGACTCTGAGAATTCTGTGAGGGTCCGGAGATTTCTGTCAGGTAAGACCCTGAGATCTCTCTCTCAGATGAGGACCCTGAGATGTCTGTCAGGTGAGACTCTGAGAATTCTGTGAGGGTCCGGAGATTTCTGTCAGGTAAGACCCTGAGATCTCTCTCTCAGATGAGGACCCTGAGATCTCTGTCAGCTGTGGTCTGAGATCTCTGTCAGGTGAGACCCCTGAGATTTCTGTCAGGTGAGGTCCTGAGATCTCTCTCAAATGAGGGCCCTGACATCTCTGTCAGGTGAGACCCTGAGATGTCTGTCAGGTAAGGCCTGAGATCTCTGTCAGGTGAGGCCCTGAAATCTGTCTCTCTGCGAGGCCCCTCGGACCTCTGTCACGTGAGATGCTCCCTGAGAGTGGCTCTCGTCTGCACAGGGCAGGAGGCCGAAGAGAGCCCACCTTCAGATAGCGATTAGCAGTCGGCTTCTCATTCGCAGTCTGCCACTCCCCGGCCGCCTCCTCCTTGAAGTCCACGAAGTAGCCGGAGATGGGGCTGCTGCCGGCGTACACGGGCGCCTTCCAGAGCAGGACCAGGGAGTTGTCCCTGACCTCACAGAAGGTCAGGTCAAAGGCAGGACCTGGGAAACCGAACTCAGGGTCACGCCCGCACCCCAAGGGCATCAGTGTGGGTTAAGGTCAAGGTTATCTGGTCACTTTCAGGACTTCTGAGCATGTCCGGCCCAGGGGATTCAGACACTCAGTGTGGGGAGGTGGACGGCATGTTTCAGGCCCACCCGACTGGCCCCTCCAGAGAGAGCTGAGCCCTCTGGTCGCCCACTCTGCTCGGGGGCAATGAATCAAGCAGGGAGGCCAGTAGGGCCAGCTTGGGGATTTCTCCCCAGGGACTGTCCAGGGTAAGCCTGGGCACGAGGCTGTCTGAGGGCCTCAGGGGCATGGGCACTAACTCCAAGAGGCAGGGAAGAGCCCTTCCATTCAGGTGGTGGCGCTGCAGGGCAGTGTGGCCACGGCATAGCGCCCGCCTGCACTCCAGCGCCCGTGAGCCCCCAGGTCCCAGGAGACCCTCATGTGCCCAGCTGGGCCTGTGTCTCCTGCTCGGGAAGGTCCTGAATCAGGCTGAGCTCTGAGGAAGAGGCCACCTTCCGCCAAGCCTGAGTTCCGTTTTGCCAGTTCTGAGGACGCCACCCTCTGCACGCGGTCCTGATGACACCAGCTAAACCCCTGGGCAGCAGACAGGCCAGGCCCCTAGACCCTCACACTCAGGCCTCTTGGCGCGGGCGTGTGCCTAGTGCATGCCCAGACATCAGAGACAGAGTGGACCCTCCCACGAGGCCTGAGTGTGACACGGGCCAGGGTCCTGCACATGGTGGGCCTCAGCAGCTGTGGGCAGAGCCACTGCCTGCATCCGGGCCATGGCAGTCAGCACCAACATCACAGCAGATCCCAGCAGCCTCGGGGACCTACTCCCCAGTGTGGACTGGGCCCTCCTCCAGCACAGCCTCCCAGCTGCCGCACGACCATCCCTGGTGCAAGAACACCCGCGGGCCAGCTCTCCCTGCCCGTCCACTCACCAGGCTCGGGCGCTGTCCAGGCCTCACACAGGAAGAGCTCGCTGGGCTCCGACGGCTGCCCGATGCCCGCCAGGTTGGTGGCAGCGATCTTGAACTCGTATGCGGAGCCTTCCATCAAATTCTCCACCTGCCCAGGTGGACACAGGCATGAGGTAAGTTAAGGCAGCATCTCCACTCCTCTGTCTCCCCACGCGGGACAGGTGGGGAAGCTGAGGCACGCAGAGCCCAGGGCAGGGCGGGAGACTCCTGCCCACTCATGGCGCCGCCAGCCCAGAGGCAGTGCGGAGATGCCACCCACCGTGAAGAGCCGCTCTTTGACGGGTGAGGAGTTGACTTCGTGCCAGCGGGCGTGTCCAGCCTCACGGGCGTCCAGGTAGTAGCCCAAGATGGCCGCCCCTCCGCTGAATCTGGGCACTTTCCAGCCCAACGTCATGGAGTGGCCATCACAGCTCAGCAGCGTGATTCCGTAGGGCGGGGACGGGACGGCTGCGGGGACATGCAGGGACCCCTGCTCAGCACCAGGGCCTGGGCCCCCAGGCAGCAACCATCCCATGTCCTGACCTGGCCCCACCATCCAGCCCACTCTGGCCCTTTGAAGAGCAATGTGAGAGCGTAAAGCTCTCTGAGGCCCAACGTTTCCTTTCATGGACGATGCTACCAGAAAGAGCCTTATCTGAGCCCCAGCAACCCCCCTCCAGGGTCAGGGAGAGGACCTGATTGCCCCAACGGGAAGGGAACTGGGATTGACTGGGGGAGTAGCACCCAGGCCCGAGGTCACAGGGCAGAGCCAGTGTCTGAGCCAGCAAAAGGCTGACGTCACTCGCTGGGGAGGGAATAACATCATTGATGGGCGGGGCCAATGTCACTCACTGGGGCAGGGCGGAAATGATGTCATTGGGGCAGGGCTGGCATCATTCCCCGAGAGTGGGGCAGGAATGACATCAGTACTGAGGGGAGGGCTGGCGTCACTAGCTGAGGGGCGGGGCTGCTGTCACTCATGGGAGCAGGTGATGTCACTCACTGAGGGCAGCCTGCACCTTGATGACATCAGACTCCTGCGAGTTCTCGCTGGCGCCCACCGCGTTCACGGCCTTCACACGGAAGCTGTACTGCTCCCCGCTGGTCAGGCCATGCACCACGAACCTGTGGACAGCGAGCTGACTCAGTCCTGGCGGCCGCAGGGGCCGCCTGTTTCCACGACCACACCCAGGCCAGGCTCACTGCGCGAGGCTGGGTCATTCCCAGCGAGACAGACGCAGGCTGGAGTGCAGGACGCAGCCCCTCCACCCTCGCTCTACGGGCCGCTACGTCCACTGAGGGTGCGTGCCCACTCTCCCACTGCGGGGGTTGCGGACAAGCCTGCACCAAGGTCCACTCCCTGCAAAGCCTGGTTTCCGCCTGGCCTTGCCTTGCCCAGGGCTCATGTGGCTGCTGTCACGGGCCCACCCAGTGCTGCCCACCCGCCCTATGCAGGCTCCACCATGCTGCTCCCCCCCACCCGAGGCCCCCACACCCTCTCCCGCTCTGTTCGGGCAGGGCAGTGGGGTCGCCCACAGAGTGGGTGTCCAGTCAGGAAGCGGGCAGTGATGCTCCTGCGGGAGGAAGCAGGGTGGGCGGGCGGGCACCTGTTGTAGCCAATGGGCTTGTGGTTGCAGGGCTCCCAGCGGTTGCTGCCCACCACGCAGCTCTCCACGTAGTAGCCCAGCAGCTCCTCCTCCTGCCTCGGCCGATCCCACTGCACCACCACTGATGTCTTGGTGTTCCTCGAGGCCAGCACCCGGCCAGGTGCCGAAGGAACCGCTGCCGGGGGTGGGGGGTGGGGGTGGGGGAGGGGGTGGGAACACATGGTAGCTGGAGGTGGGACTGACCCAGCCCTACAGGAAGGTCACCCGGGGGTAGGTAAGAGGCAAGCCAGGACGGGAGGCCCATCAGCCTCACAGAGCCAATCAGGCACCAGGACAGGGAGTGACTTGCACAGATGCCCCGGCCACAGGGCAGGGTCCTGCCATTATGGCCACTGGATAGGATCCTGCAATTATGGCCATGGGGCAGGGTCCTGTTGATATGAATACAGTGCTTGTCCTGCCATTCCTAGTTCACTGATTCCGAGAGGGTACACAGAGTCCGATTCAGGACGGAGTTTGGTCAACATCACAGGCCCTTCAGCTATTTCTAATCTGTTTCCTAACTTCACAGAAAGATGATGAGCTTTGGAGAAATGTCAAGGACATCTGGAGGACCAGTGTGCCCTGTGAAAAGGACATCTCGAGACCAGGGGGAGGGCCAAGTGGGCCGAGCACTCACCCATTGCATCCTGCACCTGGATGGGGGCCGTGATCTCTGACGGGTCGCTCAGGCCGTACTTGTTGGCGGACAGAACCCGGAACACATAGGGCTTCCCCTCGGCCAGGTCAAACACGGCATAGCGGGGGGAGCGCACGGCCATCTGTGCATTGACTCGCTGCCAGCTCCCGCTGCCCACCACAGACTGCAGGACAGGCCAGAGGGGAGCCACATTCACATGTGCACACATGCACCCCAAGGCACTGCCCACAGGCGGGTCTACCCTCTCCATTCTATGTCATCTGTGTGTTGACCACACCACACCAAGTGCCTGTGTGAGACCATGTGTACGTGTGTCTGGGTGTGCCCGATTCTTTGTATTTGAGTTTCTGTCTACACATATGTGAGCGTGTCTAGGTATATAAGTTTGTTCTCATGCATGGGTCTACGCATACGAATATGTGTAACTATATAAGTGTGTGTATGTGGTGTGTGTGTGTGCATGCATGCAGAGTCAGGAGAGCCAACTTCTGCATGTCTGCTGGGATGGAGGGGTCTGGCCTGGAAGTTCCTCTGGTCACTCAGGGGTGTGAGCTGTCTGCAGAGCAGCCTCACAGCTCTGAAAGCTGCTGGACAGCCAGGCAGGGGGACTGCCCAGGGCGAGGGCAGGAACCCTCACACTGGCTGGGGACAGGAAGGTAGGGGCCTGCCGTGGCCAACCTCCCCAAGGCCTGGTCATGGCTGGACTCCTGCTGGCTCCCTGGCCAGCTCATCAACATGGGTCTCAGGGCTGGGCCCTCTTCTGCGGCCCCTGAGGTAGAGTGAGTGTAATGGGGAACAGCACGGAGCGGGCACCTTCTCAATGAAATACATCAGGGGGGCCCTGCCACGGGGCGTGGGCGGCTCCCAGCTGAGCACCACGTAGTTCCTGCTGATCTCTGACGCATGCACGTTGGTGGGGGGGCCCGGGAGCTGGACGTCACCTGCAGGAGTGACTCAGTGAGATGTGAGGAGTACCAGGGCCGCCTCCCCAGCCCACCCACACCGGATCTGACCACAGTTCCCGGGCATGCTCAGATCTCAGGCGTGTGTGTGTGCATGCATGTGCGTGCATGTGTGTGGTGTATGCATGTGTGCATGTGTGTTGTGTGTGCGTGCGTGCGTGTGTGTGCATGTGCGCACGTGTGAGTGAATGCGTGTGTGTGTGTCGTGTATGTATGCATTTGTGGGTGTATGTGTGTGTGTGGGTGCGCATGTGGGTGCGGGTGTGCGCATATGTGTGTGTTGTGTGTGTGTGTGTCCATGCAAGCATGCTCATACGGGACGTGCCATGCTCAGTCACCCCCGTGCTGGGGTCTCCGTGCTGGCGGAACGAGACTGAGGACAAAGAGGAGCTCGGTGACACTCCCGGCACGTGTGTGCTGAGGCCGGCCAGGAGGAGCCTCACAGGCCTCCCCGCCAGCTTCCGTGCACAATGCTGCGGCTCCCACTTAGATTAGCACATGATTAAGAGTGTCCCAATGTCCCCGGGACACGGCTGAGCCCAACACTATGTCCAGTTGCTGGCCAGGGACTCTGCGTATCTGAGGAATTCAGGAGCCACGTGGAAGCATAATCAGGACAGGGTGAGTGTCCAAGCACAGCCACAGCAGCCGGCACACAAACAACAGGAGCTGGGGCCGCTCGGGAAAACGCCCCGAGAGGGCCAGATCGGGCAGCAGCAGGGCCACAGACACCCGAGGGAATCGGACAGACAGACAGACACGAGGAGGAGGAGTTCCAGCACGGCGCAGGAGCAGCATCGGAGAGACAGAGCCGGGCTTCTGGCTCATGGGCAGCAGCTCTGAGGCCCCAAAGTCAGCAGAGGGCAGGGGGCTGCAGAAGGTCATGGAGGACCGGGAAAGGGTGCAAGATTCCTGCAGAGCCAAGGACGGAAACCACCCCATGCCCCACCACAGAGGGGCACCCGACTCTCTCCCCAGGCCGGCCACTCTCCAGGGAGGCCCAGGCTGTCCCCAGGCCTGTGACCCAGAGCTCTGGTCGGGCCAGTTTCCCCGCCTGTACCTGAACATAGACAGTCACTGACCACACGAGCTCCACGCCTGCTCACGGCTGCACACCTCCCCCATGAGTGCACACATCCCCGCTCACATGTACACAACCCCCTGTTCACATGTACACACCCCCCACTCACGGCTGCACACACCCCCACTCACAGCTGCACAGCCCCCTGCTCACATGTACATACACCCCTGCTCATGTGTGCACACACCCCCCCCTCACGTGTGCACATATCCTGGCTCACATGTACACACACACCCCACTCACGGCTGCACACACCCCTGCTCACGTGTCCATATACCCCTGCTCATGTGTGCACACACCCCTGCTCATGGCTGCACAACCCCTCGCTCACGTGTGCCCATATCCCCACTCACATGTACACCCCACTCACAGCTGCACACACCCTCCTCACGTATACATACACCCATGCTCACATGTGCACACACCCCCGCTCATGTATACACCCCCCCCGCTTGTGTGTACACACATCCCTGCTCACGTGTGCACACCCCTGCTCATGGCTGACTGGACATGCAGACCAACCCGAACCTAATCCTGCCTTTGTTTCTCCAGCATGAGGAACCGGCTTCCCAGGAGGTGTAGCACAGGAAGCCTCTCCCCAGGCCAACAGGAGGCGAGAGAACCCCTGGACCCAAGGGCCGAGGAGAAAGCCTTGTCCCCCCTGGAGAACCTGAGCGTGAGAGCAATGCGTGGCTTCCCGTGGAGCCCTGCCATGGTCCCGAGCAGAGCCTGCCCTCTGGAGGAACCTCAGCAGGGAGGGGGGGTGTGATCGCAGGGAGGGCCGAGGGAGCTGACCATGAGCAGTGAGGGTCTGCGGGGCCTCCGGGCTCTGGCTCTCACCTTCCAGGTCCTCCTGGCAGATCACGATCTCCTTGTCCCCCTCGAGGCGGACGGCTGTGGGGAAGAGGGCAGAGGAGAGACTGGTGCTGAGCCCGCCAGCAGGGCGGGATTCCGGAAGGGCCCAGACACGACCTTCCGGGCTCTCCACCGCCCCTCTGGAGTCCATCCACTCAGGAAACAGGGGACGGACTCCCGACAACCTTGATTCCGGACCCCCTGGAGGAAGGCTGGGGCAGGATTCTGTCCAGGCCGCCCGCCGGGACAGGAGCAGCCGTGCCCACAGGGTCAAAGGGTCCTGCCAGGCCCTGAGGGCGCAGCGTGGAGACGGCCCTCGAGACTCTCAAGTGCCTGCTTAGTTGGGACTGGACCCCCAGCCCGGGCAGGAGACTCCCCAGCCCGCCCGCAGGCCCTGACCTTGCAGCCTCCGGAGCTCGGCAGGGTCCAGGGCGGCCACGGCGTCAGAGACGCGGGAAGGCCTGCTGGTGCCAGCGCTGTTGACGGCCCGCACGCGGAAGGTGTAGGAGCGGCCCTCGCAGAGCCCCGTCACCGGGTAGCGGCACACCTTGACGGGCGTGTCGTTGCACTGCACCCACGTGTCCGTACCCACCTCGCACCTGCCGGCACACAGAACCCACCAGAATGTGGCCGCCGTGTCTACGCCAGTGGCCGTCAGGCTGTCAAAGAGTGCAGACTAAGGAGCAGCAGGGAACACTACATGTGTGCGTGGTATAGACATAACACAGCACAGACAACGCGTGCGTGTGTGTGTGTGTGTGTGTGTGTGCGCGCGCGCACACACACATTCGCGAGGCCTGTGATTGTGGCAGGATGTGTACAGGGAACCCAGTGGTTAATGCTTTAAAATACACAGAAAAGGTCAGGGAAGAGAGAGAAGTCCTTCTGCAACAGAGAAAGAGAGAGAGAAAGAGAGAGAGAGAGAGAGAGAGAGAGAGAGAGAGAGAGAGAGAGCGAGAGCTGGGATTTAACAATGAAGAGAGACAGAGAGAGAGAGACAGAGACACAGCAATGAACAGAGAAAGAGAAAGAGGCAGAGAGAGAGGGAAGAAGGGAAAGAGGGAGAGAGGGAGAGAGGAGGGAGAGGGAGAGAGGGAGAGGAAGAGAGGAGAAAGAAAGGAAAGAGGGAGAGGAGAGAGAGGGAGAGAGAAAGGAAGAAAGAGGGAGAGGGGAAAGGGAGAAAGGGAGAGAGGGGGATGGAGGGAGCGAAGAAGAGAGAGGGAGGGAGAGAGTGGGTGAGAAAGGGAGGGAGAAAGGGAGAAAGGGAGGGAGGGAGAGAAGGAGGGAGCATGCAGTGGTGGAGACGGTGCCCCCAGGGCCCCCCTGGAGCACTGGCCGAGGCAATGAGCAGAGGAAGCTCCTGCCTGTCATTGGGACTCACCGGTCCACAAAGTAGCCGAGCACAGGGCTCTCATTGGTGGTGTTGGGCGGCTTCCAGGAGACGATGACGTAGTCCTGGTTGGCGTCATGGCACTGCAGGTCCATGGGTGCGCCCGGGGCACCTGTCACCAGCGGGTCAGCGTCTGGGGACCGGGAGGGTGTCCTGAGACCCTGCGGCTACCAGGCCTCATGGCGGGACCCTGTCCACGCACACCCCACACCTGCCAGCACGGGGCGAGGAGACCCAGGGGCTGCAGGCTTTGGCTCAGTCTACAGCTCTCCGTGTCCTAGCCAAGGAGGAAATACGCCGCCTCGTGCCATGATGCACTCTGCGGTTGTCACGCACATAAGCACGCTCACAGACATGTAGTCACAGGACGTGGGACATGACGCCATACATGGAGGCACGTGATGTGTGGTGAGCTCATGTCACATGCATCATAGCGTCATAGGCACCTGCGACACGTGATGTGTTGTTATATGGCCTGCGTTACGTGGCATCACATCACATAGGCATAAGGCCACGTGCTGTTTCATGGCACACGATGCCTCTCACACGGGCACGAGGTCGTGCGGCCACGCCATCAGGTGGCCACAAGGTGTGTGAGCGCACACAGGGGCTCTCCCAGTGGCCAGAGGTGGGGCCGGTTCATGAAGGCCAGCTGAAGGCAGGCCCAACCCATACTCGACTCGGACCTGGGACCTGCCGGCCACCTCCCTAGGGTGCCCACACCGACCTCCTCCCGGCCATACCTCGGACGAACAGGAAGGCGCTATGGTCCGTGACGCCACCCCGGGACACGATGCGCAGCGTGTACAGACCCTCGTCGTCCTTGTGCAGCTGCCCAAAGGACAGCGAGGCCTGGCCCTCCCCGAAAAACATCTTGGTCCACTTGGACTCCTGGAGAAGGACGTCTGCAGGGACAAGGGGCTGATCAGGCCACGCCAGCACATGCGCCTCTGGGAGGCGGGTCCCTGCCGTCCCTCATTTCCACTGCCTGCCCCGGACTAGCCCTGCCCACCCTGATCAGTGCCCCACCCCCACCTGCCCCACCCCCAATGCTGTGCCCGCCCGGACCCAGGTCGGCAGACACTCACCATCCCGGTACCACTCGGCCCGCGGCCGCACCCGCTTCAGGTCAGGCGTCACCAGCAGCGTGCACTTGAGGGTGAGGGTCTCCCCCTCAGTTCTGAAGGTGACCCCGAACTTCTCCAAGAACTGGATGTCAAAGTGGGTGTGTGGGACCTCAGACGACAGGGGCACTGCGGAGGGAGCCAGGCTGAGGGTTCCGGGCACAGCCATGACTGCCCGCACCCCCACCTGGGAGGACTTAGGGGTCAGCTGGGGAAGGGACACTCACGACCGATGGGGAGGCCCACGGAACGCAGCGGGTCCTCGTCCCCATGGAAGCCTGTGAGGAGGGAGAGGGAGGACAGTGAGCCATACCCACCCTACCCAAGGTCACGCACTCACTACCAACCCCGGGCTGATACACAGACCCCTGACCTGGGTTACACCTGACCCCAGGGTCACATATCACCCCTCACCCCAAGGTCACACATCACCCCTGACCTGAGGTCACACATCACCCCTGACCTGAGGTCACACATCACCTAGACCCTGAGGTCACACATCACTCCTGACCCGAGGTCACACATCCCCCCGACCTGGGCCCCCCAAAGGCGCCTGACACTCACGTCTCACCACCACGGCTGCCTGAGTCGACACCTGTCCATGCCCGTTGGTGGCAACTGCGGAGTAGGTGGCCGTGTCATCGAAGTGTGCCCTGGGGAGAGGGAAGCATGTGACCGTCCCAAGAGGCTACAAGGCCCAGCGGCCCCAGTGGCCTCCCTGCATGGACGCTTCGGCCTGCCCTGAGCCCAGGATGTCTGGGGCTCTGGTCTCAAGGGAAAACAGGTCATCCGCGACTCCTGTTTCCTGCAGGACAGCATCACCCTCACCCCCCACTGTCTGCCCACCAGGGTCCTCGTGCTCAGCAAGGTCCAGCCTCCTGCTGACCAGCCCAGGCAACTCACACTGCGGGTATTGGAGTTGCCCCAGGGGCACCCCCACTCTTCCTACTGGAACACTCCCCATCTACCTCCAGCTTGGACAGTTTCCCCAACTGGGATACACCTGCAAGGAAGAGGGAGCTTCCCCAGCAGAGGGAGGAGGGAACTTCCCTACTGGGAGGAGAGAGTCCCCTGCAGAGAGGGAGGAAGGAGAGTTCCCTATAGAGATTGAGGAGGGAATGTCCCCTGCAGGGAGGAGGCAGAGTCCCCTACAGAGAGGGAGGAGGGAGCTTCCACTGTAGGGAGGAGAGAGAGTCCCCTGTAGAGAGGGAGGAGGGAGCTTTCCTGCAGAGAGGAAGGAGCTTCCCTGGAGAGAGGTGGCAGAGTCCCCTGCAGGGAGGAGGGAGCTTCCCCTGCAGGGAGGAGGCAGAGTCCCCTACAGAGAGGGAGGAGGGAGCTTCCCCTGCAGGGAGGAGGAAGAGTCATCTGCACAGAGGGAGGAGTGAGCTTCCTTGCGGGGAGGAGGGAGCTTCCACTGCAGGGAGGAGGGAGCTTCCACTGCAGGGAGGACGGAGAGTCCAGCAGGGAGGACCAGAGGGTCTCTGCAGTGCCCAAACAAGGCCTTCCCCAGCTGACTGGCCTGTTGAGATGGCCAGTGTCCGCGCCTTAGCACAGAGGAGACTGTCAATGACCCAATTAGCACTTAGGGCTTAACAGAGGCTCAGGGCAGGGGCTGGGAAGGCCCTGACTTAGCAGGCCCAGAGCAGCCCTCTGGAGCACTGGAAAGCCTGTCCATGGGCCCAGAAGCCCAGGGGGGTGGGGGAACGCAGGGAGGGAACCGCAGGCTCACAGAGTCCTGTTGGCACCTGGGACTCATTACCAGGGAAACAGAGAGACTGGGCACCCCTCCCTCAGGGAGCATCTTGCAGAGTTGGGCAAGGGGCACAGGAAACAGAGCAGGCAGCCGGCCCTGGCAGGGTCAGTGGCTGAAATGACCTAATGGATCAGTCTAGCCCAGAATGGCGCCTGAGAGTGATAGTGCCAGATGGCATGACCCTGCCCCTCCCCCTGCTGGCCCTCCCCCTCCCAGACACCCTCCCCCCTCCCCGGCCCAGGCTGCCCCCACGTCCCCTCAAGGCTGCTTCAGAGGCAAAGGGCTCCCTGTTCTGCCACGCCCGGTTTCTGCTCAGGGTCTGTGTTGCTCTCCGTGGGGCCCCGGCTGGGCGGAGGGGCAGGGCCACTGTCTGTGCTGGGGCGGGCACAGAGGGTTTGAGGCAGGAGCATTTCTCAGGCACCCCAGGCCACCAGACCCGTCGGTGGTGTTGGCACTAGGCTTGCCTGTTTCACCGAGAATCACAACCAACCTCTAAAAATAAAGTGCCCATATTCCCCAGCAGCGGACACTCGGCCCGGTGCCTGCACCGTGGAGAGCCCCAGTAGAACCCTCAGCAGAACGGGCTCGGTGAGTCCCAGGGCGGGTTTATGAGCTTATAAACGAGAGTCAGGTGCAATGGGAATGCAGCAGGCAGCAGCGCTCGGCATTGCTGGGCCACTGTGCCAGGGAGTATTTATGGGGACGGTGTCACTGCGGGCTGCACGGCCCCCGGCCAGCACAGGCGCACGACGCTGTGATCTGATCTGCTGACAGCGACTCAGCACCGGAGCCGGGCAGCTGACGGCAGCTGTCAGGGCCGGGCACTGCTCTGGCCTCTACTCTGTCCCAGGGCAGGAGCAGGGGGACACCCCTCAGCCCTGCCTTCCCCTCTCATGGCACCAGCAGGGGTGGAGGCGAGACCCTTCCCCTTTTGAAAGCAGCCACTGCTGCCTCAAGGTCCCTTCCTGAAGCACCCCAAGGAGCTGACACCCCTAGCAGTATGCGCCTCCCAGCAAGGTGAGTCTTCTCCCATGCACTGCCGTCCGGGGCCCGAGACACCGTGCATGCCTGCACACACACACACACACACACACACACACACACACACACGCATGCTCACAAATGCACACATATCCACACATGCACACACACACATGCACATACACATGCACACACACACATGCAGATGCACACACATACATCCACACACCACACACTCACACATGCACACATGCACCATACACACGCACACACACGTGCACACACAACACATGCATTCACGTACACAAGCACACGCATTCACACACATACACTCATATACAACGTGCACACTCACACATGCACACATGCACACACATGCACTCACTCACGCACACATACACTTATACACACGTTCACATACGCACACACTCATACACACACACACACACACACACCGCACACTGCACACGCACACAGATACTGGAAATCCAGGATTAGTCTCTAGTCTCTGAACCACAGGCAACAGGCTGGGGCACCCCTAAAGGATGGCAAAGGGACACTGTCCCTCTCCTGAACCCCACCTCTATCCCTGCAGCACCCCCACCCCAGCTCCACAAACTGCTCTCTCCCTGTTTCACACATCGGTCAGGATGACGACAGGACAGAGGGACATGCAGGGAGGCTGACTGTCCCCCCCCCCCCGAGGGTGCAGGATGCAGGGTCCTCTGGGTGCCGCTCAGGGTGGGTGGGCCCGGCCAGCTCCTGACCTGTTGATCTGCAGCGTGTGCACTCCATACTTGCTGTCGATCAGGTACTTGCCCGGCTCTGCTGCCTGGCAGATCAAGTTGCCGTCTTTGTACCTGGGGAGGGAAGGTGCCAGGAGGAGCAGTGGGCTTGCATGCTGGCACCCTCGTGTCTCGTCCCGCTCACCCCAGCCCGACTCATTCTCCCAGGGAACCAAGCCCCAGAGCTGTGTATGCAAGGTTACTCGGGTAATGAGCAGAGCCCCTGTGGAAGCACCGCTACTTGAATAAGGAGCAGAGTTCACCTGTAAGCAAGGTTACTCGCGTAAGTACAGTTACTCGGGTAAGGAGCAGAGCCTCTGTGGAAGCACCATTACTCAAGTAAGGAGCAAGGAGCAGGGATCACTTGTAAGCAAGATTACTTGGGTAAGCATGGTTACTCGAGTAAGCAGCAGTATCTGCATAGAAGCACAGTTACTCGAGTAATAAAGGCCACGTGTAAGCAGGGTACTCAGGTAAGGAGCAGGGCCTTCGAGGAGGCCTGGCTACTTAGGGAATGAGCCAAGGCCACATGCAGGCACTGGTGGCCTCTGAGAAGCACCAGCCCCCGGCACTCACCACTGCACCACCGGGGTGGGGTAGCCCTGCACCGTGAAGCACAGGGTCACCGACATCCGCTCCCACACCGTGTGCGAGCGCAGACGCACCAGGATCTCGGGGGCTCTGCCCATCCGCTCCTCGAAGCCAAAGCTGGACCTTGCCCAGCCCAGCCTGTCGTCCACCTGGCGAGGACAAGGGCGTGAGGGCTGCCGAGGGTTCCTGGGCATATGGGGGGTGGTGTGGCTCCACCCACGCCCCCCCACCCCACGCCCAGTCCTACTGAGAGCTGTCCGGAGGCTGTGTATCTGTCCAGCAGGTCCCGGGCCTGGGCGCGGGCCAGCCCCATACTGTCCTGAGCCTGGGCCAGCTCGCCCAGGAAGCGCCGACGCTTGGCCTCGCCATAAGCTGCCGAAGAGGACCTGTACCTGCAAGCAGAGACCTCGGCTCTAAGACGCCAGGGGGCAGCACGTGGGAGGGGGCTTCGCGTGGGTACAGGAGAAGGTATCAGGCCCCGGGCCTGCAGGGTGATCCACACCCTGTTCCAGGGGCCCTAGACACCCACCTGCTCACATGCCTCAGGGGCTCCAAAGAGGCCCTGCCTGCCGCCCTCAAACCCCAGAAGCTTTGGGAAATCCCAGAGGCTCAAACCCAGACTCCTATTCCAGGGAGCTAGAGAAAGCCTCCTCCCCAGAGCATGCAAGCCAGGTTACTCGGGCCGGGGGCAGGGCAGAGGCAGGGGCAGGAGGGCCTGGCACAGTCACTGTCCCACATGGACCCACGAGCCCTTGGCAATAATGGGCCAGGGGCGGGTCAGGAGCACGAACCTCAGGGACCACCAGAGACCAGAGACCCCCCCGGGAACCACCCACACCCATGCCCAGACCAGCCTGGCAGCCTCCACAGTCCCTCTGCACATCTTCCCAGGCCCCCTCAGAGCCGGGCTGCTCCCTCCCGAAGAGACGTCTCCCTGCAGAAACCTCTGCCGGCCACCCAGGCCTCACTGCAAGGTGCTCAGAGCCCGACTCAGGAAGCGCCTTCATGCCCTGTGACCGCCTGGTCCCTGAGCACTGGCCCGCTGACCTCATCAGCTCAGTGTCCTGCCTCCATCTGGGCACAGCTAATAATCATCCACTCCTGCACCCCGCCAGAGACCTTCCCCGTGCCCACCTGGTGCTGGCCGCTGGCCTCCAGAGAGGGGATTTTCAGGGCACCGGGACCCCTGGGGCTCCTTCACTGACACGGGTCCGACTGCTCTCTGCTCCCATGTGGGCCCAACCAGGGCGTCCCAAGCTGCCCCCACTCTCTGCTCGTGGGGTCCCTCCTGTTTCCAGGGGCCTCTGCATCCCAGTGTCCCCTCAGATGCCCCTCTGCTGCCCGCCTGAGGGACGCTGGGGTCTGGCACTGGGGCCTTTGCTGTAGGACAGGCCGCTGGGCGCCTCAGGTGTAGGCAGGGACTCCCCAGGTACCTTCCGTCCTGCTCATACTCCTCCTCCTCCTCCGAGGCCTCCAGCCGCTTGGCACAGACCCTGCAGGTGGCCCCTCCTGCCGCGGCATGGCTGGATGCTCGCTGGGACACGGCCTGGCTGGACGCTCGCTGGGCTACAGCCTGGCTGGATGCTCGCTGGGACACAGCCTGGCTGCTTGACGCCTGCACGGAGGATGACCGGGACGAGGCCCGCCTGCTGCCGGGAAGCCACGGGGTCAGGAAAGGGAGAGAGCAGCACACCCTGAGCCCGTCCAGACACACACATGCAGGCCTGTGCACACACATGCGTGCAGCACTCACGGGGTGCAGATCCATGGGCACACAGCTATCCTGCCTGGCACTTGGGCGCACACACACCATCTCACCTAGCACATGGGCACACACACACCTGTCCCACCTGGCTGGTACACAGGAGCACATACACTCGTCCTGCCTGGCACATGGGTACACACATATCCATCCTACCTGGTACTGGGCACATGACTATCCCACGTGGCACACGGGAGCACACACACCCCATCCTGCCTGGCACATGGGCACACACACACACTCATCCTGCCTGGCACACAGGTGCACACATACCCGTCCTGCCTGGCACATGGGCACACACACATACCCGTCCCTCCTAGCACACGGGCACATACACCTATCCTGCCTGGTACACGGGCACACATACCCGGTCCCCCTGGCACACGCACACACAACCGTCCCGCCTGGCACAGGTAGTGCACACATGCACACATGAGCACACACGCTTCTGCACATGCCCATCCGCGGGGAAGCTCCCGGGCCGAGCACAGCCCTGCTGGCTGCCAGCCTGGGCCCTGGTGGAGCTTAGCTCTATCTGAGGCTGCTGGCGGGCGCCCCTGCCAGTGTTGGGCCTTGTTTACTGAAGGGATGTCAGCCGGCTGCCTGCACCGTGACGCCTCTAAATATAGGGTGTCAGAGACGTGGGCGAGAGCTCTGGGAAGAGGAAAGACCTTCCATGGTGCCACCAGGGCGGGCTAAGGGGGACCCCGGGAGGGGCTTGGGGATCCAAGTCCTGCCTGGTGGACTCACTCAGACACAGCCCGGGCTCAGCTCTGCTTCTCCCTCCCAAGCACTATCGAGGCCCCGGCTCTGGGGACTCTGGGAGAATCGAGGTGGGAGCACGCCCCAGGGGTCTCAGCTGCAGGGGACAGGCATGGACAGGGGTGGTGGGCATGGACAGGAGTGGAAAGAAGTGGACAGAAGTGGGTGGGCATGGGCGGGCATGGCTGGGCATGGGTGGGCAGGAATAGGAGATGACAGGAATGGACTGGAGTGGGTGGGCATGGCTGGGAATAGGTGGGCACTGGCATGAGTGGATGGGCGTGGACAGCATGGGAAGGCATGGACAGGAGTGGACAGCATGGACAGCATGGGCAGGAGTAGGCGGGCTGTTTGGGCTTGGCTGAGTGTGAACAGGTACGGGTGGGCACGCTCATCCACAGGCCCACGTGGGTCCAAGGCTCCACCCACCCCGGGGTCCAGCTGTAGCACTGGGCGTCGCCTCACCTCTTGGCGGCGTACTCCTCTAGAAGGTACCGTGTCTGGACATGGCGGTAGGACTGGTCAAAGTGCTTGTGCCGTCTCTGGTAGAAGGGCAGCGCCACCAGCGACATCTTGGGGCTCACCTGGATGGAGACGGGGCACAGGTGGGCATGGCCCAGCCCCCCCCTTGGGCTGTGGGCAGCAGGAAGGTCAGCACTGGACTGAGCCTCCATGGGCTCATTCTGTTTGGGACCACGCCCTGGGGTACTCAGGGCGCCCTCCTGCCTCTGCACCCATGGCAGGGCTCAGAGAGCCACACGTGGTGCCAGGGACTGAACCCAGGTCGGCACATGTGGGAGGCAAGAGCGCTGCCCACTCTGTCGCCAACTGCACCGCCTGCCCGGGGCCCTTAAAGCCTATGCACAGAGCCCGGGTCCCAGGCCTGCAAAACGTGTGGCTGGGTGACAATAATGCAAATAAAACATAAACAAAAGCAAAACCCAGATTCATGATGCAAAGAGACACTGAGGAGGGGGGACGAGCCACCTCCAGCCTCACCACTGGTGGACAAAGGGGGACACAAGGCGGAGACTCGGCCCTCATCAGTGGGACCCGCGGCTGGACTCTGGGAGGCCAGTGGACATTGCCCGGGGCTGGCGTCCCCCTCTGTCCCATGCCTGGAATCCCAGCCACACGGTGCCCGGCCCTGTGCCTCACTGCTCATGGCCAGGCGGGCACTGGACGGGGTCACGGCAAGGGAGAACCCCCTGGGGCCTAGGCTGTAACTCCAGGGCCTCAGCCATAATCAGGGGCTGTGTATCGAGGAAGCGGACACTCTGAGCCATTTCCCATGCATTCAGAGTGTCCGCTGCCCTCACCTGCACCCAGCGAGGGCCGGCGCTGGGCCCCCGAGAGGCCCACAGGCAGGCGGGCACCCGCCCCAGCATTGAGCTTCTCTCTGTTGGCATTTCCTGGCAAGGCAAAAGGCCCCAAGTGTGCCAGGTGATATGGGCGGGTTATCTGGAGCCACTGGGCTGGGGCAGCTGACACCCAAGGTGGGGGACGCGCACGGGCATGACCCCTGCTCTCGTTTCCAAGGCGAGATGGCTGGAAAGGTCAGCGGGGCCACAGCACAGCTGGGAGATGTGTGCCCGCGCCTCAGAGCCCAGCCCCGCTGACCCTCACTCTGCCCTCGGCGTCCAGCCCCTCTGACCTTCACCCTGCCCTGAGTCCAGCCCCACTGACCCCCTCATTCTGCCCTCAGTGTGCAGCCCCACTGACCCCCTCACCCTGCCCTCAGTGTTCAGCCCTACAGACTCACCCTGCCCTTGGTGTATAGCCCCGCTGACCGCTCACCCTGCCCTCGGTGTCCAGTTCCGCTGACCCTCACCCTGTCCTCTGTGTCCAGCCCCCTCTAGGCACCTCCCAAAGCCCTGCAGACACGTGTGTCCAGCTGACCCCATTGAGCACAGAGCCCCAGAAACATCCAGAAGCACCGTGTTCAGAGGTGCACAGCCGCTCCCCTCGTGGGGCCACTGTCCCTTGTGCCCAGCTGTCCCCCACACTGAGGGCACAGGCGTGGCCGATGCCCCGCGACTCTGTAACTGGGGGCGCCTGAGAACCAGCATGAGGAGGTGCCCCTCTCCCCGCAGGGAACCTGGCCCACCTCCCAGCCCTGGGGAGTCCTGTCCCTGGAGGCCAGGCCAGGCTGTCCACTGCGCCTGCCCCCGCCCCTGCCCCCTCCCCGGACATTCCGGAACCCTCCTGACCCTCCTGAGACTCCAGCCTTACGACAGCGAGTGAAACCCAAGCTGGGCGGCTTAGCCCTAATCCCATCCAGGGGGGAGTCAGGGAACCAGCGCCCTGCACCCCACCCCGAGGGCGTCCCTCTGGGGAGCAGGTCAGGGCCGAGCCGTCCCCTGGGAGGGTCAGTGTCTGAGCCAGAAGAGCAGCCCAGGAAAGGGCAGGTTCCCACGAGGGGCCTTGTAGAGGAGGGACCCCACCAGCCCTGCACTGAGCCCGGCCATACCAACTGGGTCCTGTGCTGAGGACGTTCACACACCCGGGGGTCTCCCCAGCGTGTCTGAGCTACGTGGACAGGGCCAGGAGCTCTGTGAGCCCCGAGTTCCGGCCACGTCCAGGGAGGCTGAGGGCTGGGCTTCATCCCTGGACTCCCCGGCTGCCAGCAACTGCCCGAGCGAGTTTGTGGCAGTGACCGCTTCCCTGCAGAGCTCCTGCCTGTCTGGCCTCACAGCTGGTCCCGGTGTCCTGACCCCCACAATGGGAGGGGGCAGTGGGCAGCGTTAGGCAGAGCCTCCAGCCCCGCAGCAGGACCAGAGAACTGGTAGCTCACAAAAGCCTCAGCAGGACAAACCACAGGCCGTGTCCCCAGGGAGAGCTGGGCGGGAGGAGGGGTCCCAGGCACCCCACACTCGTACCCCTTGAAGGACACCTCGGCACTTCCGGCTGCCCCTGTCCTGCGGGCTGAGCTGGGCAGCACCAGGAGACGTCCTTCCTGGGGAAGCTGTGGACGTGCCCACCCGCCTCCCGTTCTATGGCGGCCCACCCCGTCGGACAGACACACAGACACCTGGGCAGCTCCGTCCTCTGGCCCCGGCCCCGCTGCTCCACCTCGGCCCCCCAGTCTGGCCACCCCGCCTCTCCACCCACGCCCCAGGCAGCTAGGCCTCCCTGGAGCAGACCCACCGTCCGGTGTCCACAGGCGGCTTCCCCAGCTTCTCGAGAGCAGCGGACAGCAGCAGAGAGTGGCCGCGCCCAGACTGCCAGGGGTGCCAGGGCAGGGACTGGCCGCTCCAGCCCCACCCAGCGATGGCCGAGCACAGGCTATTTTTAGCCAAGGCCACTGCCTCCTGCATCGATCCCACCAGCCTGGCCCAGGGAGGGAGAACCCATGGGAAGTGACCAGAGGTGCCCGCAAGGCGTCCCCAGTGACCAGCTGCCTGTTCGGTCCTTCCCACTGGCCCCCTCCAGCCCTGCTGCACCCTCACCCTCCCCTGACCCACCCTCACTGCTCTCCAACCTTTAGGGTGACCCTCACATTCACACACACACACACACTCACACACATATGCACTCACACACACACATACTGACACATGCACACACCCAGACATAGACACATACACTCACACACCACATGCTCAGCCATACACCCACAGACTAACCGTGCAAGCTCACACACACTCAGACACACACATACACACACCCACATACACGAACACAGAGACACACTCACATACATATACACATCGCCCACGCACACCCAGACATACTAACATACGCACACTCACAAATGTCACACCCTCAGACATATAGCCCAACATATCATACACTCTGAAGCATACCCACACAAATAGTGTAAGCTCACACACACACACACACACACACACACACACACACACACACAGCGTCTGCTTACAGAGCTCTGCGTCCTGCCCACCATCGGGAGCCTGGGGACAAGACGAGCTTGTGAGCTGGTGGCTGTGCCTCGGTGGCCCTGGGCTGGGCAGACAGAGCTCAGTGCCCACTGCGAAAGCTGCTGCCCCTTATTTTTAGGTGCCAGCAGCTCTTGCTGGACTCTTGTGTGGGTGCGGCCGCGCAGGCTGTGGCCCGGCCCCACATATGTGCATGTATAAATAACAGGGCCTGGCACGGGCCGAGCAGGGCCCGCGGATCACGCCCCCACAGCTATGCGGCCCTCACGGAGCCTCACGGCCCAGCAGGAAGGAGGAGACAAGAACCTTCCCCGGGGACCTGCCCTGAGCAGTTCGGCGAGGCCCCACACTCACCACCGCTCCCCTCCCGCTGTGGCCCACGGGGAGAAGGACCCTCACGTCCCTCTTCTGTTCAGCAGCACCTCAGCCAAAGGTGCCTCCCTCAGGAGAGTGGCCCAGAGGCAGGTCACTGCCGGGCCAGAGGAGAGAGGAGGATCACCGCACAGGAGAGCCATCGGGGACCCAGGGACAGTCAGGGACAAAGGGACACAGGGACCAGAGACTGGGCACACCATGAGAGATCAGTCACAGATTTGGGGCGTGAAGCTGCAATGTGGCCACAGAAACCTTCCGTGGCCAGAGTCCCAAGGGCAAAGCCACGTCGTGGGAGATCCGTGAGATCATACCCTGGGCGTCCATCAGGATACTTGGGGGGAAACAACCTACTTCAGGCCATCTCACTAACGTGTGTGTCCCGTCTCAGAGAACCAAGTTCTAATGTGAAAGTTTCACCACCCACCTCAGTCCGGCCCTAATTGGGGGCTGTATTCCCCCAAACACTGGTGTGGGCTGCTACTCACAGGCTCAGGGGCAGCACAGCAACCCCACATGTCCATCAGGAGACTTACTGACACCTGTTCTGATGACCAGTGGAAGGGTTATACAGCACAAGCATCCAGCGACAAACGAACATTCTCACAGTGACTCACGCCTTCCGGCTGAGCCGCCGGACCTCTGTCCCCACATGCCTGGCGTGCATAGCCGATGCCTGGGGGGACTGAACAGGGGTCATTTCTGAAATGCAGATCAGTTTAGCAGTAGTCAGACACTGACTGGACAGCACGACGTCCACAGATGCAAACCCGGGCCAGAGCATAGCTGCGCAGCTGTGCGTCTGCGAACCCCTTTCTGCTGGGCTCCGAGGCTCTGCCACCCTCGGGCAGAGGGTGGTCTTTGAGCCAGCTCACACTCCACCTGCAGAGCCCCTGGGGACACTCCGGAGGGCCTCCTGCAGGGCTCTGCACCACCCCTGCCCCCACACTGGCCAGGAGGAGACAGGCACTGCGTGACACAGATGCCCAAAGGGCACCAAAGGGCTCTGCACAGCAAGGCAGGGTGGTCAGCTGAGCCACGGCTCCTGGAGCCCCAGTAGCGTCCACGGTAGGGTCCCCGGGCAGCCTCTGAACGCCCCCCATGAGTGTCCCCCACACTGGCAGATGAGTGTCCCCTGTCGTCCACTAGGTGGAGCACTCAGCACAGGACACAGTTTCCCTAGGCTCCAGAACCCAGCACTCAGCTACAGGAAGCCTCATGGACACCCCAAAGAAGCGACTCAGAGGCAGCTGTGACTGTGAAGAGGACCACGTGGCTCCAGTGGCCACCGACACAGACTCATACCTGCCAAACCTCCACGTGCACAGCACCACGTGTCGAAGGAGGTCAAGTGGTTACCTATGCGCTTAGAACTCTACGGACGTGTGTGCGTGTGTGCATACACACACGTGTGCTTGCAGCGTTGTGTAAATGAATGTGTGTGCATCCACGCCCTGTGTACTGTGTACTGTGCGCACGTGTATGTCTTGTTGACGTGCATGAAGAAGCACGTTCAGTGTGCTATGTACACATGTCTATGTATAGTGTGAGTGCACTGTGTGTATGTGTTCACATGTGCAGTGCATGGGTGCCCTATGTGCGTGCAGGTGTGTTGTGTGTGCATTCACATGCATGTTTCATGTGCTGCTCTCGGATGTCACATGCCTGTGTCTCGTGTGCTATGTGTAAGCACATGTGCGGGTGTGTGCCTTGGTCTTACCTGGGCCTGGATCACCATGGTGCTGGTCCAGTCTCTGTGGAGGCTGTGGACACTAACTCTGCCCACGCAGGCAAACACAGCCCCCAGCCCCCAGAGGGAGGGTCCACAGCCAGCAGGTGTTGGCGCCGCTGCAGGGCTGTAGTCCTCGCTGGGGTGCAGACCCGCCCAGAGGGTGCCCAGGTGCCAGGGCCATGTCCTCTAGCACCACCGGTGCTGTGGGCATCGAGGTTGGCCGTCTGCTCTCTTGTGGCAGGTCGGCTCTGGGGTCGTGTGTCTTCCTTGTGCATGACCAGGGGTTGGTTGGGCTGGAGCAGGCCCAAATGGACCACCCGGTTCGTGCCCCTGGACAGGTATGCAGTGCCCAGCAGAGGGGACTGTGAGTGCCCAGTCAGAGCGGGAGAGGGTCAGTAAATCTGGTCACGGCCACGGAGGTCCGAGGCACAGAGTCTCAGGCGTGGGCACGGGCACAACCTGGTCCTGTGTGTGAGCATGGCCTGGGCGGTTACTGAGTGTGGGGTGGGTGTAGCCGTGGGCGGTGACTGGGTGGGGACGTGGGCACGGCCTGGTTTCCTGTGGGCGGGGCCGTGGGAGTGGTGGGGGGGGCCCCAGCTGCACAGGAAGCGGTGACTCAGGCCCACACCCGCTTCCAGCCTGGCGGTCTCCAAGGAAACGGTTGGGGCAGGCCTTAGGGAGAGCCCGGGCTGCAAGTAAACAAGGCTGCCAAGTGAACCCGCTGGGACTCAACAGACAGAGGGGGAGGGGAGGGAGGGGAGGAGGGGCAGGAGGGACAGTGAGGAGGGATGGAGGGGGATGGAGGGGCAGTGGGGGTGATGGAGGAGAGGATGGAGGGGGGGTGGAGGGATGGACAGGGATAGAGGGTGGGTGAAGTGAAGGGTGATGAAGAGGCAGGGGCAGGGGATGGAAGGGGGTATGGGGGGGAGTGGCAGGAGAGATGGGCGGGGGGGGGGGGTCTGTGAGGGTCTGCGCCTCTCTCGCATGCTGGGAGCCACTTCCTCGCTGAGGCCCATTCAAGGCCTAGGACTCAGCCCCTATAGCCCAGACCCTGCCTTCTCCCCTGTGGGACCCCGGGAGCACTATGGTGACCCCTCGCCCAGACCCTTGGGGTGCCAACTTAAGGACGTGGACACAACATGCTCGTCTGTCTGGGTTTGAAGCCAGGGTGCTGGGCTATGTTGTTGCCCGATGGCCAGCGACTCTATCCCGTGTGAGACCCTGAGGGCCAGAAGGTCTAGGGCGGTGACCAGGACCCGCAGAACCAGAGAGGGGTCAGCAGCCAGGTGGGCTGTGAGGCGTAGGGGCTCAGGGTGGGAATGTTGGTGGGCACAGCTGGGGTCCTGGGCCTGTCAGCTGGCCAGTGCTCCACCAATGGTCAGCATCTGGACGCTCTGGAAGGTGCTTGGCAGCAGGTGGGCACCAGCCTGAGCTTTGGCATCCTTCCCTGCAGCCGGGGTGGGGCAGGATCTGTGCCCCAGCCATGCAGGGTGTCTGAGAGGCTGCGTCCCAGCTGGGTAACTGTGTCCCCATGTCCACAGCACCGTCCAGCTACGGTCAGCCGTGGCCCCAGCTGGGTCCCTCAGGACTCACACCCATGCCAGCACACTTTTCTGCACACCCCCCCCCCACCGCCGTGGACTCCATGTGGGGAGGGGGCGGCAGCTTCAGCCACTGTAGGTCACCTGCCCTGCAGGGGTCTAAGTGCCTTGTCACACCCTTGGGGCCTTGTGGTCCCACCTGAGGGTCAGTGTGCAGAGACACAGAGTGGGGCATAGGTGCAGGGTCAGAGGGGCACCTGTTCGTGTGACTGTTTCTTCATGTCTCTCTTGCTCTCTCTCTGATTCTCTGTCTCCCACTGTCTCTCGCTCTGTCTCTCCTGGTCCGACCTCCTTTTGCCTGTGGCCACAGGTGTCCTTTGTCCTCCGGCTGCCTAGCAGGGATGGCGCGGGCGAGAGGTCCCTTGGCCCCAGTGCCGCCTTCCCGGCACACAGGCACACACCCGGCTTTCTTGGGGGGAGCGGAGCCAGCAGGGAGGTGGTGCCAGTGCGGGAGAAGAAAGAGCCTTTGTGTGCGGATCCCTGACACACAGGCTGCTCTGTCCCCGGGGGGCCCGCACACAGGGACGTGCCAGCACAGAACCCAGGGTCAGTGGCACAGACCTGGGACAGGCTGGCCGGACAGCAGAGGAAGGGCAGAGGGACCTGGGGGTCTCCAACCAGGAGGCCTGGTGGAAAGCCCACTCGCCAAGCAGTGGAGCACGTCCCCCAGGCTGCTGCTGGGGGTGAGGCGGGCTCTGGGAGGAGGCCATCCCAAGCCTGCAGGCCCCCTGCTCCCTCCCACCCTCTGCTCCTAGGCCCCACCTGCAAGGGGGCAGCAGGAAAGGCCTGGAAGCCCACAAAACAGCCACCGCTCCCTCCCCCAGACTGGCCTCCAAGCCTTTGTTCCTGAGCTTAATCCCCAGCAGAGCCAGTGACCCAGTGGAGAGGTCAACGCAGCACCAGGGGATTGAGGCCAGTTTCTCAGGCCCGGCCCGGGTGGGGGCAGAGGCAGGAGTGAGGCCCCCACTGGGCAGGCTGGTGAGCAGGGGACAAGGGGCCAGTGGCCGGGCAGGGCTGAATTCCTGCGGTCCAGATGGCTGAGAGAGCTGTCTCCTGCTCCTGGCTGGTCCTGGGCCCCCCTGAGAACTGGGGAGCCAGGAGGGGGCCAGAACATGGGGGTCTGCAGAGCCCTGTGCCTGCTGTCTGCCGTGGGATTTTCACAGGATGGACTCCCCCCCACAGGCCACATCCTGCAGGACTGATGCCCCCCCCACCACACACACACACACACACACACCCTGCAGGGAAGGGTAGCCAGGCCTTGCTTTGGGACTCCACCCCCACCCCACCCTCCCTTCCCCCAATTCCACTCCGGAAACTGAACGCCAACATTTTGTTTATTCAACAGCATACATTGCAGGAGTGATTCTCCAAATTACATCACAGTGATACTAGTCAATGAACTTGAGAGTTTAGGAATGAAAATATTAGTCTGCCTCCATTTCATAGAAAAGTTTTAGCATAAATAGTTCGATTCTAGAGAGAAAACAGGGCACTGCAGTAGGGAATATGCGTTTCCCCGCACGGCACTTTCCTGTGCTGTGCTCTCTGCCAGCTCTGCGGTGGTGTCTGGAACGAAGCCTGGTCAGGTGAAGTCTCTGCCGGCCGCGGGTGCCCGGGCAGCTGCGCACACACAGAACCTGCCCTGAGCGGTGCCCACACATCCGTCCTCTGGCACATGCACCACAAAGCAGCTCCTCACCCTACGCCATGGACCCGGTTCACAAGCACAGGCTCTGAACAGCAGGCCCGGCTCCACCCCCCACCCCCTTGGGCCAATAGGCGAGCTTGCACCAGAACATTCTACCCAGTTCCACTGCCTGCACTACTTTCGCCCACACAGCTCAATTCTGCCTGAGTCTGGGGAGCGGGTCCCTGTCCTTCCTTCCTCACGAGGCAGCGCCCTGTCTGGCTGCAAAGGAAGATGTTCCAGGGCAGTGGGCTCACTGTTGCCTGGGACCACAGCCCGACACGTGTGTGCACGTGTGTTCATCCTGGGTTGACACACCCCTGGTGCCTGAAGCAACTCCCCACCATCCGGACCTCAGAGATGTTGTGCTGGGAACAGCCAGGCTGGGGCAGAAGCCACGAGTTGTTGTCTGAGCGACCCCAGGCTGCTTCTGGACAAGCCCTCTCCAGGGCACAGCTGTGGCTACAGAGGCGGCCAGCAGTCAGGCACGCAGCCCTGGGAGGCATCTGGTCAGGACCTGCAGCCCAGCGCAGGTCAGGACGAGTGCACAGAACAGAAACATAGCTGCCCTCTCCTCCTCCCAACTCAGTGCAGTGCCCAGCCCAAGGGGCTGTGTGCACACTTGTGTGCATTCGTGCATGACTGTGTACACGTGTTATCGTGTGTTCCTGTGCACCATGTGTGCGTAACTTGCATGCATGAACGTCCCTGTGCTTGCATGTGACTGTGTACACGTGTTATTGTGTATGTGCCTAGTGTGTGCATGTGACTTGCGTGCATGTGTGATTGTACGTGTTCCTGTGTGCCCATGTGTATTTTTGTTTGTATTCACATGTACCTGCGCATGCGTGTGGCTGTGTTCACCCAGGTGTCTGTGCACGTGTTCACCTGTGAGTACATGTGTCTGTGCCCAGATATGCACCAGCGCCCGTGGATATGCGTGGGCATTGCGTCCTTTCCTGCTCTCCACCTCGGTGCCAGAGGAAACACGGAACTTCCAGGCTGTATTCTGGTCTGCGCCCGGGCTGTCGCTGCCACCGGGTGTGGAACAGCGGAGCCTGAGCAGGGTTGGGGCTTGGTACCAAGCTAGGAAGCGCCCACTTTAACCCTCAAGCCACAGCAGGCCTTTCAGCCAGAGCGCCCCAGTAAAGCCCACTCCCCAGTCTCGTGGTCCAACACCCGAAAACCGACTTCTCGGTGCACCCAGGCAGGGGCCATCTGCCTCCTCTTCCCCTTCCCTCCCCCCACCCCCGTTTCCAGAGCAAACGCACCAGGAGTACCCGGAGCGCACCCCAAGACCACCCACCTACCGCCAAATTCCGCTCCCGGCCCCAGAGTACCCGGAGCGCATCCCAAGTACAGGGCGCACCCCAAGACCACCCACCTAACGCCGAATTCCGCTCCCGGCCCCAGAGTACCCGGAGCGCACCCCAAGTGCAGGGCGCACCCCATGACCACCCACCTACCGCCGAATTCCGCTCCGGCCCCCGCACCCTTCCCCGGCCCACCCCCGCGCCCACGAAGCCAAGCAAAGCAGAAAGGCGGGCGGGGGCGGCCGCGGGCCTTGCCCCTCGCTCCTCTCCGGGGCGGGCCCTCGGCCCGCGGGGCTACACCGCGCCGCTCTCGCCCGCGTTCTCCTGGTCCGGCTCCTCGCTGCGCTCCGGCTTCTCCTCGGGCAGGCTGAGCACGAAGGGCACGAGCACCCCACGGACGTCCAGGGGCGCCCCGAGCGGCTCGGGCTGGAAGCTGCCGCCGGACTCGTCGCCCTCGGGCGCGGGCACGAAGCGCCAGGTGCCCGCGCGGCCCACGCAGAGGATGCTGCCGTCGAGCACGGCGCAGCGGAAGGGCTGCGCGGGCCCGGGCGGGCGCAGCGCGGCGGCGCCCTGGCTCCAGCGCTTGGCCAGGCAGTGGTAGCGCAGGACGCGCACCGCGCCCGCCGCCGCGCCGCGCCCGCCGCACAGGTCGAAGCGGTACAGGGCGCCGCCCAGGGCCACCATGTCGGCCGCGCGCTCGCGGCTGGGGCTGCCCGGGCACTCGTGCCACTCGTCGCGCCGCGGCTCGTACTTGAGCAGGCGGTAGGAGAGCGAGCCCCCGGACACGTAGACGGCGCCGTGGCAGGCGGCCGCCGCGTGCGCCACGGCGAAGGCGCCGCGCGGCAGCGGGGCCGCGGCGCTCCAGCGGTCGGCGCGCGGGTCGTAGCGCTCCACGCTCAGCAGGCACTCGCCGCCCACGGCGTACAGGTGGCCGTCCAGGGCCAGCAGCTGCAGCTGCGAGCGCGCCTGGCGCAGCGGCCGCGCGGCGCTCCACCGCCCGGTGGCTGGGTTGTAGCAGAAGACCTGGTCGGAGGCGCGCGCGCGGCCGTCGGGGCCCGCGGGGTGCACGCCGCCCGCCACGAACACGTAGTTCCAGAGCACGCACACGCCGCAGCCCCGCGCCGGCGCGCCCGCGGGCAGCCGGGCCAGCTCGCGCCACGCGCCGGCCGCCTCGTCCAGGCAGTAGACGGCGGCGTCGGCGTCGGCGCCCGGGCTCTGCGGCCGGCTCCCCGCGCGCTCCCCGCCCGCGCCCAGCGCCGCGGCCAGCAGGCGCGCGCGGCCGGCGCGCAGGCGGCGGCGCAGCAGCAGGTCGCGCTCGGCGCCCGACAGGCGCCCGAAGACCCCCGGCTCGCGCAGCACCTCCAGGTAGTGGTCGCTCATGAAGCGCAGCGCCGCGTCGCGCAGCTCGCCCAGCCGCTGGCGCTTGGCGGCGCTCAGCACGTCGTAGCAGTTGTCCAGGCCCAGCTGCGCGGCCACGGCGTCCGCGGCGCGCTGCGCGGCGCCCGGCAGCTGCAGGCGGCGCGCGCCGGCCACCAGCTCGGCCACGTTGTCGGGCCGCGCGCCCGCCATGCGCCCGCTGTACGCGTCGGCCAGCAGCAGCCGCAGCGCCGCGAAACTCACGCCCCGCACGCGCAGCACGTCCCGCGACGCGCGCGCGCGGAAGAAGTCGGAGCGCGCGGCCAGCACCGCCTTGTGCGCGCGCAGCCGGCGGCCGGACACCTCGATGAGCAGGTCGGGCTCGCCGTGGCCCGGGCCCACCCCGGGCGGCAAGGGCGCGGGGGCCGCCGGGTCCTGCGCCTCCTCCTCCTCCTCCTCCTCGGGGGTCCCGAGCGCTCCCGGGGACGCGCGCCCCTCCTCCTCCTCCGGGGTCCTGAGCGCTCCCGGGGACGCGCGCCCCTCCTCCTCCTCCTCCTCCTCCTCCGGGGTCCTGAGCGCTTCCGAGGACGCGTGCTCCTCCTCGGGGGTCCCGGCGGCCGCGCTGCTGCTCACCTCCCGCTGCGTCTGCACCACGCGGCGCGGGGAGGGCGGGGAGGCCGCTGCGTCCTGGGCCGCGCAGGCCCGCGACTGCGGCGGGGAGCCGGGGCCGCCCGTGAAGCACAGGGACGCGCGCAGGCTGCAGGGGGCGAGCGCGGGGGACGCCGCGCGCTCCCCCGCGGCGGCCACTTCCGCAGGCTGCGGGCTGAGCTGCCCGGGACTCTGCGAGGCACCGCCCGCGCCCCCGGCGCGCTCCCCCGGGGCGAACGCGGCCCCCGGCTCCAAGCTGCGGTCGTCCCCCGGGTAGAGGACGCAGCGGGCCACCGGCGTCTCCATGGCAGCGCCTCGGATCGCCTGCCCCCCAGCCCCACCCCACCCCACCCTTGACTCAGCAGACCAGGTTGCGGTCCCCGGGGTGCGCCTGGCCAGAGCAGACTCCTCGGCGTGGGGTGGGGGGCCTGTCCCCAGAGGGGTGCGTCCCGCTACAGTGGCTGAGGATCTCGGTGGGGCCGGAGGGCGGGGCGGTGGGCTTCGTTCCCCCACTGACCCTCCTCTTGATTCTACTGGCTTCTCAAGCTCAGCCCCGCGCCAGGCTGAGAGGCTGCGCGAGGGTGGTCGGACGCCCCCCGATTTACGCCGTTTTGGTCAGGAGCCGCTTTGGGAAGCCTTTTTTGGTGCCTCCTGTTTGCGAGGACGAAGGGTCAGCTGGAGGATGTCTGTCCTGTGTCCTGGCATCCGGCCTGGCTGTGCGGGTCGGGGAGCAGGGGGGGACCCTGCTGCGGGCAGTCGGGTGTGGCGCGGGGCGGGGTCTTCCTCACCATCCCCAGGTGGTCTCCGCCGGCCTCCACAGGAGTTTCACCATCCCGGGCGCCTGCTGGGAGACAGAGACAGGCCTTGGGGTGTGCTGGGCTGGGGCTGACCCCGGGTCTGGCTCTGGTGAGGGATGGGTCATTCCAGCCCCGAACCCAGGGTCCCTCACACTGCAGACCTGAGCTAGATGGGGGCACACTCCGGGTCAGGGGGCTTCCTGTGTGCGATCTGTTCTGGGCTGGGGCTGACCCCAGGTCTGGCTCTGGTGAGGGATGGGTCATTCCAGCCCAGAACCCAGGGTCCCTCACACTGCAGACCTGAGCTAGATGGGGACACACTCGGGGTCTGGGGGCTTCCTGTGTGCGATCTGTGCTGGGCTGGGTCTGACCCCAGGTCTGGCTCTGGTGAGGGATGGGTCATTCCAGCCCGCAATCCAGGGTCCCTCACACTGCAGACCTGAGCTAGATGGGGGCACACTCGGGGTCACGGGGCTTCCTGTGTGCGATCTGGGAGGGAGGGCCAGCCATCTCCTCCCCAGAGTCCTTGGCCCGTCCCTGCTGCGTTTTGCAGTTGTTGCAAACTCGGCTCTAACAGGGCCTCACGACAGGGCTGAGCCTTCTGCTCCCCAGCCCGTCCCCAGAGCCTGCCAGGAAGGTGGATGTCCTGGGAAGGGGTTCTACCTGCCGAGGGCCCTCTGGTCACCCAGCCGTGTGTCCTCATGCCACAAGGCTGCCTGGAGATTCCCAGCATGGAAGGGGCAGCAAGGCGGGGGTGGGGGTGGGGTGGTCAGAGGCTGCAGGTCTCCTGCAGGGACATGGGCAGGAAAGTGCCCCGTGGCACCGTGCCTGCCGTCCCCACCTGTGCCGGGTCCCTTCCTAGAGCCTAGCCCACCTGTCTCTGCGTGTAGGCTGTGTATGTGTGTGTACGCGTGTGTGTGCCCGCACGTGCCCCGTGGCCCCTCCTGCCAGTCTCCTGTCAGAGCACCTCATGGAGGCCACACATTCCTTCGCTGCTCCTCAGGCACTGGGTTCCCTTCTTCCCAGGCATCCTCTGCTTGGCTGGCTCTGCAGAGGGCACGGTGCTGGTCCGCATGGCCTGGCCCATGACTCTGACCCCACGGTCCTGCGCCGTGGCCAAGGGAGCAGTAGGGGCAGAGGCACGGGCCAGCGCTGGGTTCGTGAGGGAGCGGCAGGTGCGAGGTCAGTGCAGGAACGTGTATCCACCCCCTGACCACGCCGCTCCTCCCTGCCCTGCAATCGGGGCGTGTGTTCTGCCTGCCCAGTTTATGTCTGGAGAGGCTGGAGTGTTCTCTCGTACCCAGGGCCACAGGCACCATCCCCACAGGATCTCTAAGTCTGGGTGGACTCTTGAGACGCCCCAGGACAGCCTGTCCACCCAGTCAGCAGTGCTGGGGGCCTGACCCCTCCCACTCCTGGCTCTGCATGGAGGCCAGGGCCCCTGCCTTCGTACCTGTGCAGCCCCCGTTACCAGCACCTGATAAAGACCCGCCAGGCCTGGCCATAGCAGGACCGTCCCCGGCCCAGCCTTTCCCCTCCCCACAGAAGGAGGACATGAAGCTAGGCCGGCCCTTCTCCAGGGGCACTAACAGCCCTCACAGCTCACCCAGGGTAGATGGGGGCGCGTCACCCCCCCCCATAGCCCTCCAGAGGTGGTCTAGCCACAGACATAGCAGGGGTGGGTGGGGTCTGATGGAAACAGGAGGTGGTTCGATTCCTGGCCTTCTCCGGTACCTGAGTCTGGAGCCACTGTCCCCCACCGGCCATACTCAGAAGCTGAGCCCTGACCCCCAATTCCAGGGTGCACTGTGCACTCGGCACTGACCGCACCTTCCTCTACGGTGTGTGCAAGAAGCTGTGTGTGGGGTCACTCCTCGTGCTGAAACATCAGCTCAGGACCACTGCTGGCAGGCCTGGGGTCAAGGGCCCAGTTCAGCCCAGGGCGTGGGCACCTTGGCTTGTGATAACCTCTCAGCAGCACTGATGTGACCTGCGCAGCCTCACACACAGTGACCTCACTGCTATGGGAAGTCGCGTCCATCTTCCCCAGTGTGGGAGCAGTGACCACAGGCCCAGCAGGAGCACCAGGGTGTGACTCAGCAGGCCGACTCTGCCCGCCCCCCCAGTAGAGCGCCCCCTGCAGGTAGGACTGTGGGGCTGCAGGGGCTTGCAAGATGCCCAATGCCTGCCCTTTCCTTGCCCATTTATCCCCACAGTTGTTGGATCTGGAGGGCAGCAGACGGAGGTGGGCAGGGCAGTCTCTGCTCACAGCCCTTGGGAGCAGGAGGAAGCAAGTGGGGGTGTGGGGAGCCTGCCCTGGGCACAGCCTATTTGGGGAAGCTGCTTGTGGCTTCCTGAGGACGCGACAGGCTGGACCATCTGTTCCCTGTCGCGCTTGGCTGTGTCTCTCCTGGCTGGGAACACCCCCTGCCTGCGGGCTGGCATGGGCACAGGGGCCTGCCTGAGTCAATGCACGCAGGTAGCCCCCACCCCTGGCTCCAGCAGCCCCTCAAGGCACACCTGCAGGCGTGGCCTGACACACAACACAAAGGCCACTTCAACATGACCCAGCTGGACAGCCTGGTCAGCAGGAGGGGGACTTCACAGCTCATGCCCTTCAGCAGATGGTGGTCCCTCCCCAGGAGCCCAGATCCACAGACCCCTGCTGCCTGCTGGCTCCAGAGCAGAGGGCCCCTGGCTGCCGGGGGTGGGGGCTGGGGGGGGGGGGGAGTGTGCAGTGGACACCTTTCGTAGCTTTGGTCCCACCAGACCAAAGACCCGATAACCTGAAACTCTGGATATCTTACTGAGACACACACGTTTCTAAGGTGGGCTGAGAAATATGTAACAACGTACAATTTGAAAATGGTGGTGGCGAGGTGTGATGGTGGTGGGATTGGTGTTGGAATATTAAATGTAATAAATTGTGAACAACTTTATAAAAATAAAAATAAAATAAAAAAATCAGTGGGTCCCTGTAAGCATGATATCCACACTGCAACAACCAAACTTTAAAATGTGCCTATTGGAGGCTGGAGGTGGGGAAAGGAACCTGGGGACGTTGGCGGAGGGGAAGGGACACCAGTGCTAAGGTGATGTTGGACATCATATGCCCAACACTCTTATGAACAATTCTAAATCACGGTGCCAGAATCATGAAATAGACAATTTACACGTGTCCACTGACTGCCACAGCGAGTCATCCATCCAACCGGCTGAGACTAGAGACACCATGTGACCCTCAAGGGGCGTAAGTGGGTCAGAGCCAGGCCATGGCCCGGAAATTCCCTCCTCAGCGTCCTGCATGTCAAGTGCTGCCAGCTGGGCCCCGGGGAAAGTGAGGCCACAGACACTGTCACTAGCCAACTTGCTTGGACGTGGGCTCCGCTCGGCCTATGTGAGGCCCCACAGTAAGCCAAGGGGACTCCCAAGTTTCAGAGTCCAAGTCTTTGATTCTGAATCAGGGTTTATGCCAGAAATGTGTCCATGCTGACATGCCGTCAGCAGGCTTGGCCGGGCCCAGATCCCAGCATCTCTTGATGCCCAGTGGAGGGACTCTGAGGCAGCCCTCCAGCCCGGCAATGGTGAGAGATGTGCTTCTGAGATCTCGCTACCCCCAGCCCCCAGCCCAGAGCAGGTCCCACCCCCTCCTCACTGGGGCCACGACTGGGGCTCTGTTCTGGCAGCAACTGAGCTGGTTCTAATGGGTTGGTGCAGAGGGCCTGCGGTGGCAGAGAGGGGGCAGACCATCTCGTTCCCGCCCCCCACACCTGGCTCAAGCACTGCCCTTCTGGCCCAGATGCAGCAGACACCCACACTGAGAGTGGCCAGAGTGATGGCACAGTGGGGAGGGCACTTCCATTGCACACGGAGGACCCAGGTTTGATCCCTGGCAACCCCCCCCCCCCCATTAGTCCCACCAGCCAGTCAGGAGTAATTCCTGAGTGCAGGGCCAGGAGTGACCCCTGAGCAGCACTAGGTGTGGCCCCGAAACAAAAAGAAAGATCCACTCAGGGTGAGGGAGCCTCTCCTGGAGTGAGGAGGTGCCCTCCCCTCCGTGTGCTCTGCTGGGGGGGGGGGGGCAATGGCTGGACAGCCTTGCAAGGTGCATCCCTGGGACAGCCCAAGGGCCAGTGACAACGATGGCAGATGACCCCTCTGGTGGGGCTGTGACCCCTCGAGCACCTGAAGGCCCCAGAGATCAAGGCAGCCAGTGCTGGACGGGCAGCCTCGGCAGTGACCACAGCTAGCCACACTTGGCGATGCTCAGGGCTTCCTCCTGGCTCTGCACTCAGGGATTACTCCTGGTGGCACACAGGGGACCATAGGGGATGCTGGGCACTGAACACGGTGGCCACATCTGAGGCAAGTGCCCTCCCCCACTGTCCTTGTGCTCTGGTCCCAGTGACCGCAGCTTCACCCAGGTCTGAGCGCCTGACCGCTCCTGACCACACCCTGGGAAGAGCAGTCTCTGAGGTGGCCAGATGGAGAGAGGCCATACAAGGGGACACAGAGGGGCAGCAGCTTCAGAGACAC